GCCCTGGAAAGGGTCTAAGTACTGATTAAACTTTAACTTTGAGAGAAAACGCGTTATGAATAAAAACGGAGACACTTAAAAATAGTAGTCCTGTTTTTCAAGTCAGTAAAATGCCATTTCAGATGTCTCTTTCTACGATTCCCTTTGAACGAAATGTGGTTGTAACCGACACCACCAATATAAAGCATACCTGACTAACGTTTTAATGCAAATCCACTATAGTAGAGCTGGGTTGGAATAATTGATCAAGTATTTAAAAGCAATTAACAGTACTCTAGATAGATAGAACAGAACTTTATTGTACACCTGACAAAACAGACACATAAGAAATTTAGACGTAAAAAACTTGGACTAAATCGTTAAAAAACTTGGAATATAGCCTGAATTAGAATCTGGAGGATCTTACCGAATGAAGACCAGCATGCCAGAACGAATATACTTCCTACGAGTTTGTATTTAAAGAATTCCACTATTGCTGGAATAAACATTGTAACTTTTGTATTCTAAATAGAAAACCAAGCCTGCGTGTAATGTAGGTTAAAGTTCTAAATATTCTTGTTTTCAAACGTATCATTCATTGGATAATCTTTTGGGTACAGTTAGCAGAAACAAAATGAACTGTTTTAACGTAGATATACAGGGTGGCCAGGGAGTTGACGTTCAAAGCTAAAATTTAGATTCCTTACATCAAGGTGTATCTAAATCATCCCCATGTATGTTCTACAATTTTTCTTAGTTTAAAGCCTTTTTAAAACCTACTAGGTCATATAATTTTAAAATAATTATCACAAAATTAACTTTATCTCCTAAACTAAGCAAAATCGTAGAACATACATGGGGGTAATTTAGATACACCTTGATGTAAGGAATTTAATTTTAGCTTTGAACGTCAACTCCCTGGCCACCCTGTATACAGGGTGTTAGGTCAATGGGTATATGAGCCGACACTAGCCCATGTTAATATAGGCATAGAAATTTGATATCTTGATTTTAATTTTTTTAATTTTAATCAAAATAAATTTTATAAAATCCGATTTGTATGAAAATTAAAATAATTAAAATGAAGATATCAATTTTCTGACTTCACCAAACCATTTATATGACCATGTTAACATGGGCTAGTGTCGGCTCATATACCCACTTACCTAACACCCTGTATAAGTTAGGTTTCATAAGATATACGGTATTAAGGGCTTTTAGAGTTCTACAGAGCATAATATGGAGCTTTTACTACCATCTTCATAAAGTATAAGTTTGTCTAGGCTACCATGTCCTACTGCTGCTCTTTAAATGTACCTATGCATGTCCCACTAGTGTATTATATAAATTGAAAATATGAAATTGTATTTTTTTGCCGACAGTACCTACAGCACAAATTACTGCATTGAAAATGCATTTCAAACAGTTTGAAGGTTTTATCAAATTATACGTTACCACAGTAAATGGCCCACTATTTTGGTTAGAAAATCACATTGGAATTTAATTGATTGGGGTAAACAACCACCTATAAATTTTCATTGTTTAGCTTGCAATAAATTTTAACTACCTAACAGTGTTTATGCTTGTTTAAAACAATAAGTATATTATGCTTGTTTTTTTTTCATCTTCGAAATAACGTTATGGCCGAGGAAAAAATATACAAAAATAGTTTTAAGAATTAAAGAACATACTCATACATTACGAGTATAATTATAATTATTTATTCATTGATGACTTCAAAACATTGGAATGAGGATTAAATTGATACCTAATTCCATAGCTGGGCATTAACTCGTTAATCCGTTAATCGTTAATTAACGAAGTTAACATTTCTATTAACGGATTAACTTTTAAGTTAACTTTAAAAAATGTTAACGGACTCGTTAACTTCCGTTAAATTATCTTAAGTCCGTTAATCGTTAATCCAGTACCTACTATTTAGGTACCAAATCAAAGCACACTGAAAAACGCTAGGAAAACGCGTTCTGACAAGTATGTACGTTCGGGCTTTCAGAACTTCCAGAACCCAAAACAACAGTTGTTGTAACGATCACTAACGACATTTGTTAGTATGTGTGGGACAACTCTTGCAACTGAATTTAAGACCAGTTTTACTCAACCGATTGAGCTGAAATTTGGTATACTTATGTAAGTACGATGACAATGCAATGTTATGGTACCATTGAGCTGGTCAGCAATGATCTGATGACGGAGTCATGAGGTGGCCATAGGAATTCCTAAATGAAACGGCGGCATCGCATCGAATTTGGGTTCGTTGGATTTGTCTTTTCGAGCACTTTAGTACTAGATGATGTCCAGGGTCCTGATGATGGAGTCAGGAGGTGGCCATAGGAATTCCTAAACGAAACGGTGGAAACTTATCGAGTTTGGGTTTGCTGGATTTGTCTTTTTGAGCACTTTGGTGCTAAATTGTATTGTAATTGAACCAAGGCTCTGAGATTGAGATACTACTAAAAGTGTAAAATAAAATTATAACTTTTTTAAAAACAAGCTTTTAGGCGGTTATCACACTGCGCCGCGTTCCGCCGCGGTACGCGGGACGACAGATTTAATCATTGTATGCAAATACCTCTGATAACTGAATACACTGACAACGCGTCTGCGCGCGGGATTTTTTATGAAATCACGCGTTCCGCGGCTGAGCGCGGCGTAGTGTGATAACCGCCTTATTCTGAAATGCAATTGTACTAAAACGAAAAAAATAATAGTAGGTAGTACTTATAAATGCAAGGTTCAAATAATTTCGAAAGCTTGTAGCGCAAACAAAAAAAAAATTGGCCAAGTGCGTGTCGGTGCTACGCGCAGTGTAGGGTTCCGTAGTGGTCCGTCGTTACCACAGTATATTTCAGAAGCAAGCAATTACTTCACTTTTCATATTTTCTTCTAAGGAATTTTCACTAGTTAATAAATTTTGTGATACATGAGTTAAATGACTATTAATCTCAAACTAATTGATGTATCTTAACCGCTAGCTATAGTTTTCCTTGAAAGTTCATGATTAGCAGTATTATCACGAATTTTTCCAGTTTTTGAAGCCAACAGTTTCGTTTTTAGAGGGGGGGGNTATTTATTGGGCTTTCAAATAACACCAATATTGTTGGGGTACCCTGATTGTGTCAGAAGAAAATCTTTAAAGTTCGCGTCGCGGAAGGTGCGGTTTATTTGATGTTGAGTGTAGTTCCTTATTAAAAAATTAAACATAATTGATTAGGATTTTTGTTTTATTCCATTGGTATTTCAGACACATAAACCTAAAATGAACCATCTAACTAATAGACCAGCAATCAGATATCAAAACGTTTTAAGTAGGTATTTATATATTAATTATTGAAATACATTAGATATTTCTTCATAATGTCATCAATTCTAAGTTTGCGGAGCGATTTTTATATTTGGAGATTCATTTCTCAATTCCGTGATTCATTTTCTCAATTCGGTGCTCTCTCAATTCGATGCTTAACATTTCTCATAAACCACTTCACAATATTTAGTGACAATGCTTTTTTTACATTCAGAATGGAGTAACATTTATTTTTTTGTATTGAAACTACTTACAAAATTAAATATAAATTTTAGCACCGAATTGAGAAAAAATACACCGTACAGTAGAAATGCCCTTGAAACGTATTTTTGAGGCATCGAATATTTCACTAATATTCGATCCCTTCCCAAAAATTGTTTAATGTATGTAAAGATTCATTATACATGCAAACATTACCCTAAACCTATTACTTAACTTCAGAGTTGATCCAAATACAAGTAGCGAAGGAAAATCGAACATACACCGCGAGCTTCACGTTAGGTTGCACTGCATTCTCCGCTTGCCGTGTTCTACTTCAGACGTAACATCTGTCTACCTTTAGTAAATTGATGTAACAAAATTGAATTGATGTTTAGTGTCTTTTAATCGGCGATACTGTAATAAAATAACTATAATTCTTTGTGAAGGAGCGACATGCAATAATTGTTCTCTATTTTCAAAGAAATACAATATGATTTTCATGGCCTGGCATAAAAAAAAATATACTCCTCTTTGACTAAATTGTTATTTCTAGATAAAAATCGAGGGATTTTTGGTAAAAAAAACAATGGTAAAATGCTTGATCGAGTCTTGAAATCAAGCTTATAATAATGTTGTTACACACTTCATATTGCCTGATGATTTTTTTTAATTATTATTTGATTTATTTTTCTTTATTGTTTAAATGCGTTTAAACAATCTAAAGAAAAATAAATCAACGAGTATGGTCGAGAGTAGGTACCGGTGTATGCGTATTGATCCAGACCAGGGTTTCTCAAACTTTCAGCTTCACGAACCCCTGTTAAAGTCTCCAGGGGACAGCGAACCCTTAAATAGCTATTTAACTCCCCCACCCTAAAGAAAATTGACTATTGAAGAAAATAATGCTTCAATTGAATTAAAGGATGCCAAACAAAGTGCCAAAGAAATGTCTTTTTAATATGTGATAGGTGTGTCTGTTTCTTATTGCAAATGGATTTAACTTTACGAGTAATTTTGGACAATATTTCAACCTTAACTCTGCCACCATTATGTAAATCTTGTCGCGAACCCCCTGACGTCGAATGGCGAACCCCTAGGGATTCGCGTACCCCACTTTGAGAAACTCTGACCTAGACAAATTGTTATTGCGCATGTGGTTTCAGCGAACTCAATGAAATTATAGGTAAACCAGTCATTGCTATATCAATTTGCGACTTAATATGCGTAGGAATTATATTTGAGCTGTAGTTCCAGTCTGTATCTACTATTTCGTTAGTTACTCTTGACTCTTTTACTATTTTGTGAACCATAAAAGTTTTGATTTGATTTATAAGGGCAAAGAAACAACGACCTATAACTTAAAGTCATTTATTTACGTTGCAATAAATTACTATGCTAACTAATGCAGTGTTTATTATAGTAAAATTAAAATTAAACTAAACAAGTAATTACTTTTTGTAAACTCAAAACTTGAGAGTTTGTTGCTTGTAGATTTTTCTTAATAATAATAGGGATAAGACGGTGGCTGTGAACACTTGCTGCAGCCACAAGATGGTTTGGACTTCTCAAACTTCTCGAATTTGTCGAACTTGTCGAATTTGTCGAACTTCCCGAACTTCTTCTCGCATTTGGACTCACATGCTGGTTTGGCTTCTATATTGCATGGGACCATGGGTGGTACCATATACGCGCTCATTGGTACGGCTGGGGGTGAAGGGGCAGGAATAGGGGTTGGGTAGCCGTACTGGGGAGGAGGGAGGCTGTATTGGGGAGGGGGTAGACTATATTGGGGTGGGGGGAGACTGTACTGGGGAGGTGGGTAGTAAACAGGCGGAGGAGGAGGAAGCCCGTAAGCAGGCGACTCACATTCAGGGGGAACCAGAGATATTACGATAGGAGATGCTGGTGGTACTACTGGAGGGGCTACGGGTGGCAGGTATTGAGGAGGAGCAGGCAGCACTACGGGCGCAGGTTGGGGAGCTGGAAGATAAACTGGGGCTGGCGCTGGTGGTGGGAGATAGACTGGGGCTGGGGCCTGTGGTGGTAGATACACTGGTGCGGGTGGGGGTGGGGCTGGTAGGACTACAGGTGGCGGTGGGGGTGGTAGGAGAACTGGGGCTGGTTGTGGAGCTGCACAGGGCTGGGGTGCTGGTAAGATTACTGGCGAAGGGGGAGGCGGCGGCGGTAGTAAGATGGGTTGAGGAGGGGCGGGCAGGTATACAGGAGGAGGGGGAGGTGGTGGTGGTAATAGTACTGGTTGCGGCGCCGGCGAGGGTAAGTACACTGGTGGAGGGGGTAGAGGGAGAGGGGCTGGTAGATATACAGGGGGAGGAGGAGGTAATAAGTACTGGGGAGGAGGTGCTGGCAGCACAAATGGAGGCGGCAGAGGCGGCGGCTTGGGCGCTCCGGCTGGCATCAAGACTATTGTAGATGCTGGTGACTCTAGTAACGAGAGCTTGTCGCATTCTATCTCTTTTTCTTTTTCTGAAAAAAGAAATAGAATTACTTGAATTTCATCGATCTTACGAAGGAGTGGTTTAACAAAATTGAGGACAAATGAATGAAAACAAAATATTGTGTAAGTACATTAATGTAAGTATCTAAATAAATTATATTACTCACCAAGAATCTTAGTCTTCAATAGAGGTTTCAGCAACCTGCAAAGAAAGATTTTACAATTCATTACTTTTCGTTCACAAAATTCAAGTTACTTTTTACTATATGATACTTACGAAGATAACACCGACTTCTTGCATTCTTTCATTTCCTTCAATGCTTCCAACTGAAAAAAGAAAAAATAGTTTGAACCATTTTGCGTGGTGATTTATTTACTTAGTAAATGAGTAAGTGGAACGTGTTACAGCAAATGCATTCACAACTTTTTATTCAGAGATAAAATACGAAATATGCACAGAAACTTAAAGACTCTACACACCAGTCTGATTGCTGTAGGTGGCTTTATTTATAAAGACAGACTTTTGAAGACCATGTTGGCTGGTTATTAAACATACATTATAATAGGTACCTAAAATTTGGCCAATCACGTGTCTGAATTTAACCTTCAGCATAGATTCATATTTGAGTATCGTTGCACAAATTCTATCAGAGTTTTTATTCAGTTGTGTAAACTGATAACAATAAGTGGGTACCTATGTAACATTCTAAGCCCTATCACTGTTGACTTAGAAAATAAAATACAATTCCATTTACCAGACATAGCTCCTTGTCTTCACACGCTATCACATACGATGACGTCACCACGAGGATCCCTAGGCAGGGCCAGAAGAACCGTCCAACCCCCATGGTCAAGCACTATCACTATGTTTGTTATACAGACATCACACTTATAAATAGTTTTCGAAGGCTACGTGCGTTTTATAAGCTAATTTATCTATTGCACCAACGATTTCGTATGGTTTGAAATCTGGCGATGCGATGCACGTGCTGATATGGTGGTGTTGAATGATTAAGTTTGTTGAAATATGACTCCAGTAATAAACAGCCGTCGTCGTCGTCTCAGCCAAATGACGTCCACTGCTGGACAAAGGCCTCCCCCAAGGTTTTCCACAATGAACGGTCCTGCGCTGCCCGCATCCAGGCTCTTCCCGCGACCTTTACCAGATCGTCGGTTCATCTAGTAGGAGGCCTGCCCACGCTACGTCTTTCAGCCCGTAGTCGCCACTCGAGAACTTTCCTGTCATGATCGAATCAGAAATGAGGAGATCCGCAGGAGAACCAAAGTAACCGACATAGCTCGCAGAATTGCTAAAATCAAGTGGCAGTGGGCGGGGCACATAGCTCGTAGAGACGAAAAAACAGCGTGGTTTAATTATTAGACTAGACCAGCAGGGGTCTCTAATCTATATACTATCCCTATCCCGCCCGCCACTGCCATCAATCCGGCCCGCGACAGCTTAAGATTAAGCCTATGTTTGCATAGGTGGGCAGAAAAATTAAAATTGTTATGGCCCTTGCAACATACCGATAAAATTATCATGGCCCCAAGGCTTTAAAGTTTGGAGACCCCTGGACTAGACCACCAGGTAGCGAGTTGATAATTCCGATTCCACTGGAAACAAAGTATTAGCAGGGCCGTCTTTAACCTATTGGGGGCCCTAGGTATTTGAGGATCAAGAGGTCTAGATTATACGAGACGAAACAAAATGTGTTCCCCTCGATCCCGGAGCCCTGGACACGTGAACCTTGTGTTTCTAATGGGAAAGATGGGCCTGAACAGCTAAATTAAACTTATAGCGGCCATAACTTCCGGCGTTAAAGTTCTGGCACGCCACACACAAGCTGGCTTGTATGTATGACGTTTTGCATTATTGACACATCTACATGTGCCTCAATGTTTAGCTTGATGTTCTATCGTCCACAAGTAACTTAAACTTACTTGTGGACGATAGAACATTAAGGTTGCACCATCTTACTTTAACTTTGACAAACGTCAAAAATCTGTCAAAATTCATACAATAAACACCGGTTATCGTCAAAGTTACGGTCAAAGTTAGATGGTGCAACTCAGCCTTAATATGAGTGTTAGTTTAATTTATGTATGTATGTAAATAAGCGTTATCTCTCGAGCACAGTCCTGTGGGTCTAGACAAAGTGCAAATTTTAATCGCAAACCAGTCGAAAAGTGGTCGAAAGGCCCCTTTTTTGTATGGAGTTTTGACGGATTCGATTTTCGATTCGATCAAAAAGTGCGTTTTGTCTAGGGGGGCTGCAGTTTCATCATGTCAAAAACGTCATTTTTGTTGTTCTAAGACATTGTAAATTCATGTAAGGAAGGAAGGAACATGATATTCACGTCTCAACATAACTTTTTTAACATCTGAAGACCCTACATTTAAAAGGGTTTTTCTCTACATTCATACAATATTTTTAGGGACATATGTTAGGTTATGGGTTACATCATATATTTCTTATATTTATGCACTGTATAAGTGCATTCAAATAAGGTTTTGATAAATGACTTTATCAGATAGCATTGTTTCATAATCAAACAAATCTTATGTAATCGCTATCAGTAATCAGTAGGGATCGGTAACAATACTGCAACCTTTATGTCAATGACAACAAAGTTTATATAAAGTTAATGAGCCAGATCATTGGGTTTAGTCAAAAGGGAGACCTATAAGATATTATATCGTGACATAACAAAAATGAGAGGTGTTCTGATATTCCTTATCGTGAGTAAACATAACATTGTGTAATATTCATATTCATATTCATATTCATTTATTCACTTCGCAATGTTACAGAAGTTCCAACAATAAAGGGTAGTAGGTACAAGATGTTCAAATGTTACATTGCTACCTCCTAGAGGTTTAAGTGATTTGTAAATAAAATTAGGCATTTTATCAATCCATAAAATAAAATTAGAACTTTTAATAATTTGGCAAATGTATCTATAATCAATCTATAAATAGATTTGAATTACGTCTGTAATTTATACTGTAATTTAGTTTGTCACTAGCATGTTTTTACCTACATTTGCAAAATTATTAAAAGTTCTAATTTTATTTTATGGATTTAACAACGATTATTATTGTCGCGATAACTAAAAAATTCATCAAGTGAGTAGAAGCAGTTTGAGATCAAATAATCTTGAAGTTTATTACTAAACGGTCTTAATTTATTTTTGGTCTTAATATTTTTCCGTTGAACACAAAGCATGACTGTCCTCTAAGTTGTCTCGAAGGTTGAGATGGCTCTATAGCAAAAAAAAATCGCCTAAATAAATTGTGGCCTTTCCTTTGTGTATCATATTTTCATTTCTTGTCTTGTGTTCTTTATTTAAACCATGAGTAATAATACACATTATTTAGTCAGACATAAAATGACTCGTACTTTATAGACTGTCCACTAAAATTCTTATAAAAACATCATAAAAATGTTAACTAAACCCATTTAAATGAAGCTTTGTCACTTACTATTTAAAAATACTTACTTAGCTCTTTTTAACTTCCAGATATGCACCTCACACGGAATTCGATGTGGACTCCTCACCGGTGATTTAAAACTCCGTTCCAGACCTTTATCCATCAACCACCATCATGCTCCGATAGAAATCAACATCAATACGGATAAACTAAAAGTGCCTTTACCTTCTCTTTCTCTACCTAAGCCTGCCAAACCTCCTCCCTTATCAGATATCTTCAAAACTTCACTGTTATCAAAATCTTCAATAACTAAGCTACCTTCAATATCTAAATTGCCTAAAATATCATCTTTACCTAAACCACGACTGTCTATTCTTCCCCCCTTATCACCTTTGTCAAAATTACGCTCACCATTGCTCCCGTCTTTCCTTCCGCAACCACTGTTACCTATAATACCTCCGATAATACCGCATTTACCTCTTTTGCCTCCTATAATACCGCCTTTACCTCTTTTACCTGTCATACCTCCAATAATACCTAGAATACCTCGGGTTCCATCTATAGATTTATTGAGGCCTTTAAGAGTTCCTATTTTGGGGAAATCCCCTTTACAAAAGGCTTTAGGATCGGAACTGAGTCCTGTTTCTGTTAAAATATCCGAAGGTAAAAAAGATTTGGTGTTGATGAAATTGAGGAAATTGTTGAAACAGGGATCGCTGACCACAGCTGAGTTTAATAGGTTTCGGAAATTGTTAGTAAGTTAAGTTTTTTTTTTATAAGAATTATTGTTTACTAGTTATTGTTTATTTGTGATAAAATTACTTGTTTTTTTCAAGAGAAAGAGGGTTTTACTAGTATAGGTACGTTATCGTTAAAAAGTTGTAGATATGAAAACTACGTCTTATGCCTTACTATAAGTTAGCTCTAATTGTAGGTATAGTAGTATTTATTTTTGTCTACGATTTTGATAATTTTGTATAAATGAATTGTGACTTTTAGAAAAATAAAAAGCATTGTTAATTTATTAAGTGACTCTTTTGTTACTCTAAGATTTCAGCACCATAATATTTGATTACGGTAGAAGATTTTTTCACTCTACTGCAGTACTGCCTAAGTAGAGTCACCAGTTGTAGGTAAATCAAAAATCTTTAATGGTGAAAAAGAACACTTATTACAGCTTTAATCGTGTGTTGTCCATAGAACAGATTGAAATCTAGCAATGTTACATATTTATCAATATAGAGGGAGGAAGAGGCACTCCAGTGCATATTATGTATTATGTTTAAATAATAAATAGTCAGTAAACAAAAATCACTTTAATAAATTACATCTTAAATAATAATACAAAAATAATAAAAACACTTATCCTAAGACATTCAACTTAAACCAGCCTTACTCCCGATTAAAACTTAGCTTTATGTCCTGATAACCCTTCGTGGTCATCTAATATGTTTGCATTACAAGTAGGTTCACCATAATAGTCCAGCGGCGGTGTTTGATCTAGCGTTCCTTAGATCTCGAATCCAGCCCGACACCTTTTCCTTCAGGCTATTGTGGCTTAATTATAATCTTCAGTCTCTATCAGCTTATCAAACTTGTGTTCCTTAGCCCCAGCTACTATAGCCTTGAAGGCGTTCACGAAGGCATCCTTGAAGCCGACAAACAGGGTGATGAGAGGCGACCTGGGCTTCTCCCCCGCCCGGCAAGCGAAGCAGGGCCTGGTTGTCCTGGGCCGGAGTAAGGACCGCTCGAATAGCACGCTACCCTGGAACAAGCAAGATAATCTATGGTCATGAAACTTGATAAACTAGAATCAATATTTAGGTTGCACATGCACTTCATCATTTCTAAAACACTCGCTCTAAAACTGAGTTTCTTGCGCTGCTTATTCTTATAGAACTGGACCATTTATTGTCCCGAAGTAGTGGTAGAGTTAATACTGGCACATGTAAAAGTGCTTTTTAAAAGCATATTTGCAAAATAAATGAGTTTTGATGATTATTCGTAGCAAAACCGTTATTCCTTGTTTCATTCCTTGACTGCTGAACATAGGCCTCCCCCAAGGATTTCCATAATGTCCGGTAGGTATTGGCCTGCATCCAGCGCTTTCGTTCCTTCATTCAGTTTTATTATCACAAGATACAATCCTTAAGTTTCATCAAGATAAAGGTGTGTTTTAATGAAAATGTCATGACTACTAACTTGGTAAACGAGAGTCAATTGAACATTGAAACTTCAAGACAAAAAAACTTCAGCTTACAGTGAACGTTGAAAACTATTAAAACTGTTTTTTCTTAAATTCAAAAAAATGTCTTTTCTACGAACCTCTACAGTAATCGCAATCACAAGCAGGAGTATCCACAGCAGCTGCACTCTTAACTTCATTCTCATAGTTCACTTTCACACATAGGTAGACCACCAGGCTACTCGCGTACCATATTTTCATCAGCCACCCCATCTCGTGTATTTCTCTATTTAAGTACTTTTTCTTACAACACCTCTTCTAAACGATGGACAGACAAATGACGATCGATCCAAAATTGCGACACTTTTTTAATACGAAAAACAGAAGACGATCGTAAATAAAGAACGCTTTGTTGTTTCGAAATTTGAAATGGAAAGTCTTCTTAATTGAAAATAATAAAAAAACAAGAGACTATCTACACTGAGAAACTATCAAGATTTTTTAATAAGCACGTTTGCTCGATAAGTCACAAAATCGATTTACTAATCGATGAGATGTATTCGTTTACGACACTCTTGTGTGCGATATTGAATACCGAATGATTCTTTTTTCAGGCACGTTTATCGATAATCGATTATTACGTAACTTAGGAGACGAAGGAAATAACACGTTCGGAACTAAACAAAACATTTAGTGATGGTGCAACAATAAAATAAACGTTAAAATCAGTGCAGACACGTACCGAATACAAATCGTACTAACATGTAGACAATAATCTGCTTTTACTGTTTCATAATTACTTCCTATCCCAATTTTTAACACTCATGGGAAAATAAGAGAAGCTATTGTTAAGACACGTATCAATATCGATTAAACCAATTAAGCTCTTCAATTGTGTTCTCAATCAATCAAAAAATAATTGCTACGCCCTCGTTAACGAAAAAAGCAAAGAAATATTAGGTAGCCTTTTTGAAACGTTTTAAAAATGGATAAAACTATCTCACTTTTACTTCTTGGTCTTATTAAAGGCACATGAAATCATAAAAAGTCAACTAGATTAAAACCCAAATACCTAACAACTTTTTCAAGTTCAGTGGTTTACGCCCGTTTTCCATGTTCAATCTTGTCCAAATAAGGATTACAACTGTCTTGCTCTTGAATATGTTTTGGATCAAATATATCCATATTCTTGCTGGTATACCTAGTCTTATCGAAAACTGTAATATTAGGTATATTTTGACCAAAAACATATGCACTTGGCATTTAAGTAAGTAATTTGGAGCTATAAGCGCAAGTAAGATTAGTTGCGGTTATAGCTCCAAAGCAAAGAGTCTTCTGAGATATTCTCGTTCACCACGACGCTGAGTCTGCAATTCCGCTCGATGGAGCATCAATACGTGCTCGTGCGCAGTTTGATTTAGACGCAGCAAAATGGGACTGTAAATCCTACAATGTACCGATACGTGGCTGTAATATTATTGGTTCGTATCGAAAACTTATAAAAATATGCAAAAAATAATAATGATGGCTCTACATTTGAAAAATTTTGGTGTGTTTTGTGTTAAAGTGAATGTGTGTTGTTTCAGATCTGTGACTATGTGAGGGGACCCCCTCCCGTAAGGTTGACAATTGATTGCGGCTCTGAGGAAAAGGTAAAAGCGATTTACGCATTTTTTTTATTTTCTTAGAAACGCTCCACATTTTGTTCAGTAACTCGCCTCTCTCTGTTTTTCCATCTGGTGCTGAAAAGTTGGATAGAGTCAGTATTATACAAAGTTTCATTTGGTAATCCGTATTACGACAGCTATAAAGAGTGATAAACAAGAAATATTTATAATTATATTTGTTCGTTTTCCAACGTTATAATTAACTTTTAGATGTAAATACTGGCTACTGGTCCATTTTATATTATTATTATGATTACGAGCGAGAATAAATTATCTATTTCAAAATCCAAAAAGATTATTGAGTCAAATCTGACCGTGTAGAGTCTCGAACGAAGACTTTACAGTGAAATAAATGCATTTGATAAGTACTTAATCAACTTAATTACTTGTAAATGGCATGCATCATCAATATTCCGCTCATTTCAATTATTGTTTGCATAAACAGAACCTTAAGTGGGTACTGAATAATCAATTTAGGCGAATTTAATGTCAACAACTTTTGCAGTTAATGGCACGGTAATAATATCATACAGTATTGTAACTTCATATAAACCGATGAAACGCGAGCTTTCTTTCGAATTTCAAATCTCGGGACGTGGTCGAGATGTAAAAGTTAGGGGTGTCGCTAATGTGCCGAATGGACGTCGATGGCCTAGTGTTGAAAATGACTAAGGTGATTGAATTTGACAGATCGTTATTTACGGTCAAATTTGTCAAAAACTAGTCATTAACTGTCAAAAATTGTCATTTTCCGTCAGTTTGATATGAACTGAAAATTACATTGAATAAAACCAGCTTTTGCCCACGACTTCGCCCGCCTGAAATTAAACCCCCTTACAAATAAAAAGTTACACAGTTATTGAACACTGTTTTAAAATGACATTTCCATACTAAACGTCACTTTAAAACACTGATCAACGAGCGTGTAAGTTTTATTAGTAAGGGGGAAAGTAACAAGTCATTAAGTACTCATTATGATTAGTAGATTCAAAATTATTTTAGTATATTTTTTTTAAATTAAATCTACTAATCACAAAACAACACGCATTTTTATCTTAATCCATTCACAAAGTATTTTGTTTGTCTAAATAAATAAAAAATACAATCACAAAACTAGATAGAAATTCTAAGTAGACAGATCAAGACAGATGTAATTAGAATGGGTGTAGGTGAGCCGCCCTATCGCATGTTGTCATACTCGTACCGTGACGTACCGCGGGGCTGTTGACATTTTCATTTCAAAAATATGGCCGAGTTGGAATACTGTATAGATAGTATTACCGTGGTTAAGGTTATTTAAAAATAATTAGCGGTAGGTATTTAAACAATCAAATCAATTAGATTAGTGCCAGCAAATATACATATAGGCACACTGCTTTTTAAACGATTTCAAAAGTAAGAATGTTAATTAAGTTTTTTTTGTAATTTTTTAGTTCTGACTGTCACACTATCTTTTACAGGATTCACTCCTCGACGGATTCCGACCGTTCAAGCAAAGATCAGCTTCAGGGAACCTTGACATCAATTCTTTCTGCAATATGATCCAAAGAGCCATACCGAAAGCTATCAAAGACGGAAGATTCGTTCCTGTAGATGAAGATGATGATCAAGACGGACTTGGCAATGCCCTAACTCCAATATCAGTGGCTCCACCCAACGGTTTTATACCAAACTTCCCTAAACTAAAGACTCCAAGGCTCAAAATCCCTCGAATAAACGTCCCAACACTAGGAGTACCTGAAAGAACGTTCTCTGCTCCAAGAGTAGGGTCTCCAATGAGCTTCTCCAAATACAGAGAGCCTGAAGAAGAGACCAGTGCGGAGAAGATGGAGAAATTCAAGAAGGGGGTACAGAAGATGCTACACGTTGTGAAAGTGCTGGGGAAAATTGACCATTATCTGTCTGAAAGGACTAGGATTATAATCGAGAAATTGTCTAAAACTTTTGCTGAGTAGTATCTACCTAACTTATAAATAAAAAACTCATTTACGGCAGACCAAACCTTCTTTTCGAATATTGAACTTATGCATCGATATAATTTTGATACCTTTACACTATGTTAACTAAATTATACTTAAATATGTAAATAAAAAATCACTCTTTTGGATTCTAGCATTTAATTTTGTGTCCCTAGTTTGTTAGTTTTATACTACTATGAAAGACAATACATTTTAAAATCATAATTTTGATTAAACATCCTCGTTAAAGCTTGATTTTTAAAAACATTGTATTTTTTTACCAATCGTGTTTAAATGCCCGTTCTGGATACTAAAGTTTTATAACAATCTACTTACTATGTTATTGTAATATCAACATAAATACAAGTACCTACTTATGTATAGTAGTAAGAACGTTTGTCTTGACTTCGCTAGGTCCTCGGCCACTGCCACCTGGAGCTCGATTGTATGGTAATTGTATGTGCAATAAATAACGTGCATACAGTATGTAATGAATTGGGTGACTAATTTTAACTTATGTTAGTAACTAGCAAAATCTAACCTACTCAAAAGATATTTATTTACGAGTATCTAAGACATGAGTTGACCATAGGTATGTTCAGCTGTATGTATGTTTTTAACATTACGGGATACAATACCTATTTTAATAAAGAAATCATTTTTCTTTCATCGTTCGTTCGTTTCAGCCGAAAGACGTCCACTGCTGGACAAAGGCCTCCCCCAAGGATTTCCACAAAGACCGGTCCTGCGCCGCTCGCATTAAGGCACCTCCCTTCCTTTTCTTTCATGCTTTGTCTGAATTTAATTTTATTTCAGTAGAAATATACCTACCTACGAGTACTTCACTGTAACTAGCACCTTCTCAAAAGAAATAATTAATTTCAGTATTTTAATTTGACAAAATAAGTAAGGGGTAAAAGAACTCATTGTATGCACTCTTTAATCGTTAATATTTATGAAGGAAATATCAATACGTCTTACTCGTACTTTAAAAATGATTGTTTCTCGATATGTTTGTTTGTATAACTTTAAAGAAGGAATATTCAGTTACAAAGTACGAATTACGAAAGCGTTAGATTTTACACCGCAGCGAAGGCATATTCGTATAACCAAACGGCCTAATTTAGGTATTAAAATCAGTTATTTATGTAAATACCTACTTCTGATGTAATGTATGGCTGCAATAAAACTATGGTATGACTCAAATGGAATGATGGGCTGGACATGAACCTTTGTAACGCAAATGAATGAAAAGTTGGGAAAAAGTATTTTCGTATTTTGTGTACGTACTCGTAAGAACTCATAATGAAACCTCTTTGGCTGAAACTGAAACTAGATGACTGATGGATGAATTTGAGCACTTTAAAAAGTCAAGTTACTAAAATTATTAAAAAAGTTAATAGGAAACGAAAAATACTGGCCATATGAAATGTGCCAATCGCACGATGCCACACCAGAAAAAGTAAAGAACGTCAAAAAGTTTTAAAAAGTTTCCCGCTTTTATTCAATTGTTTTTGTGTGAATTAATTTTATCTGTTTTCATTGGGGCTACGATAGTAGTAGTAGTAGTAGTAGTAGTAGTACGTAGTACGTAGTAAGTAGTAGTACGAAGTAGAAAATTGTATTTATTTTCTGAATTTACCTAAGAAATCTATACTTAATATTATAAAGCTGAAGAGTTTATTTGTTTGAACGCGCTAATCTCAGAAACTACTAGATCGATTTCAAAATTTCTTTCTGTTGGATATTTTATGTACGCGATCTCTGAGTGCTATAGGCTATGATGTACCACGGGCAAAGCCGGGGTGGACCGCTAGTTCTTCAATAAGAACCAAGCGAAAAGCACAGTATTATTAGCATGCATGCAACAGTTATATAATTGCATATTCATTGAATACAAATTGCATCAAAATTATAAAAACGGGTTTTTACTGGACAAGTTGCAGTTACCTTGAGAGTTTTCGGGAGCAACACAGTAAAAAACGTAAGTACTTAGACAGCAATACTTTTGGGTTTTCCTTGTACTGTTTTCCTATTCATTTAAATTTTTATTCTGTGAGATAATGTTGAGATAGCTAAATAAAAATAAAAAATAAAGTTCTGTAGTTAAAAAAAACTGTCAATCTGAGGCAACATAATATGTCTGGCTACGCAGTCGACGGTTTAATTAAATGAGTTTTTTTTTAGAAGTTGATTAATTGCATACATAAAAATCAATAGCTGAAATATCTTTAGGTATGTGACTTAATATATTATTTAATACGGGACAATTCTCATCACTCGTTCCCACCGCTGCAACTCCTGTGTAGCCAGGATCTACAACTTGACCGCCAATAGAAACCCAACCAGTGAAGGTCAAGTTTGTACCAAGAGAAAGTTATAGATTATTTATAATGTGATAAAAACCTTATTGTACTTGAAACAGTTTTAACAATGGCTCCAACTACTCAAGAGAGAGGTCACCAGGGCCAAGAACCTGATATGGAGACGGTGCCAGATGAGGCTGTCGTCATATCTGGGGTGTCGGGTCTTATGCCGGAGTGCGCGAGCTTCCTGGAGCTTGGTGATAAGCTTTTTATGAAGGTACGTTCTCAGTTTTTTTAGGGTTCCGTAGTCCTGATAAGGAAACCTTATAGTTTCGATATGTCTGTCTGTCTGTCCAAGGTTTTGCTTGTAAACTATTGGCACTATAGAGCTGTAATTTTGTGAAGGAGTATGTATATTAATCACGCCGACAAAACGGTAGAATAAAATTAAAAAAAATTTTTTTTAGGTTAGCTCCTCCTCATGTAAAGTGGAGATGAATTTGTTTTAAATCTTCTGCCCCGGCGTGTGGGGTATCGTTGGATAGATCTTTTAAAATGGTTTATTGGTTTCTAAGACTTTTTTTTTCGATTTAGGGATTCGTTTGCAAAATATGAAAGTTTAAAGTGCCAATTTTTGTTCGAGCAGGGCGTCCGGATGAAACGATCTATATAAGTGTATAAAATCATCGATTTTCAGCAAAACCTGGTAGCCAAGCATAACCGTTGGAGGAACTTCAGCCACCCAGAGCTGCCAGAATACTACGGCCTGCTGCAAAACGTCGACAAATTCGACGCCCAGTTCTTCACTGTGTCCTACAACTTGGCGCACTCTTCGGAGCCTGGCTCCAGGAAGCTGTTCGAGAACACCTTCCAGGCCATCTTTGACGCTGGTAAATAAACTACCACTAATATACTACTATACTATACTTCGACAAGACAATGTTATAAAGTAAATTACATAATATTAAGTGCATAGTTGTGCTAGGTGGACCGACGATTATAGATAGGTGTACTGGGTATAGGCGGGAATCGGGACAAGGTTCGCTATACCAGCACTTCCCCTATGCTCAGAAAGAGGGACATTCGTGGTTGTTTTAGTGGGTACTAGTAGGCCTTGCCTTTCTGGTAGGGAGAGCCCCACATAACCCTTCGCCTGACCACAGCGCCGGGTATGCAGTTTTATGCACTTTTTCCTTGTAAAAAAGGTGGACCGACGATCTGGTAAAGATCGCGGAATTCCAGGAGGAGACCAGTCATTTCAGCCACAGGACGTCCACTGCTGAATCTATGCTCCCAATGATTTCTGCATCGCCCGCTTGATAGCGGTCTGCATCTAGCGTTTTCCTGCTACCTCATGAGGTCGTAAGGCCACTTATAGCAACTAGCTAGCATTAGCACTCATTCCTCAGACATAATCCCTCTGTTGTATGTACTAAAAGTATATAAGTAAGCTAAGCCGTTTCCACTAGCTAGCGGCGAGAAAAATGAAGCGATTCTATTGATTCTTTTACTTCAAAACCAGTATCTTAAGTTAACAGTTCTACAAATTATACTTTTCAGAACTTTTCTTTAGTAATTAAGGTCCTTATTATATTATTGTATTTGTTTTAGGAATTTGCCCCCCTGAGCTGTCATCCAAAAAAGTCGGGGTATTCTTAGCCTGTGCTCTGTGCGATTCTGAGAAGGCTTGTTCCAAGTTAGACGTGTATTATGGTCTGGTTGGGTAAATATATTTAATTCTTAATTTATGTAGGTATTATATTTTGTAAAAAAAATAATATTGATGTCTTAACTTAAGAAGCTTTAAAATTGTTACAAATATTTCTAAAATCGGCTAATAGACACTACCAGCACAGCTACCAGTCAGTTGATTTAATTTACATGACGACGCTTACTTAAGACAAGTAGTGACGTCACTTTTTCGTCAACTCAGTAGCATGGGTGATGATTTAACGGCCGCCTAGTGGTTGGTGTAATTTAGCTACAGTTGAGCCAATAGACGTGAGTTGTCCATAGTCTTAATGCTCAGTTCTAAAATTCCAGAAAAATTTTAGCGGTTTTACCAATATTGGTTGTATGATTTTTATAAGTAGTTTGTACCGCCGAATAACCAAATACTCGTAAGTCATGATCCGTACCAGTCAAACTAAGCAGGACCACGGGCAACGCATGTCCATAGAAAATTAAACGTATTCAGTTACAATGTGTCGCATTTTTATGTATTCCCAGCTGCGGCAGAGCAATGTTCTCCAACCGTATATCCTTCTGGCTGAACCTGAAGGGTCCCTCCTTCACCCTGGATGGTGACGCGTGTGGTTCTGGGGTGGCACTAGAGCATGCCTGCCAATCCATCATGGAAGGTCACTGCGAGGCCGCTATTGTGGGGTCGGCGAAGATCCTTCTGCATCCACAAATTCCTATCCTTTATAACAGGTCTGTATTATTTTGTTGAAGTCCAGGTTCTTTTGTTATCCAGGTGGCAAAAACCCATTATCTCGCAGGACTGAAGCCAGGCAGAAAAGTTATCAAGTGGCGACGACGTGCTGAAATACGTGTCTTTTAATTAAACGAACAATTTAACGAACTTAAGGACCACTTAATTGCAGGCAACCATCGCCCAGTGGGATTTGATACGCCAAAAGAGTAGCGATTCGTTGCCTACCTTTACTAAGGCTGAGTTGCGACTCCTAACTTTGACCGTATACTATAACGATAGCCAGCGTTTTTTGTATGGAGTTTGACAGATTTTTAATGTTTGTCAAAGCCAAAGTAAGATGCATGGTGCAACCCAGCCTAAGAGTGACGTATAATTTTTCTTATCATGATTTAATTTTCAGAGAATGCCCAATGAATTTCGATGGCAAAACTAAATGCTATGATGCAAACGCTGACGGTCACTCACTGTCAGAAGCGGTCAATGTTATGTTTCTTCAAAAGTACAAGGATGCTAAAAGGTAGGTATTTTACCTTTTGAACAAGTTTTTTTATGTAAGCAGTCTTCTCAATGTCTAGCTAAAGAATAAAGATTCAACAGTAAGAAACTTGTTCTTTCAGAGTTTATGCCGTTGTACGTCATGCAAAGGCAGAATTCCGTGTCTCTAACGAGGAAATGACCTCGGAGTACCTCAAGGTACCCCGCGATGCCCAAGTACTGACAAACTTCTACAAAAAGTTCTATGAGGAAGCAGGAGTGTCACCCTCTTCTGTGGAATACGTTGAAGGAATTGGCGCAGGTAATACTGACCCTTAAGAACGCAACTATTTAAGCATTTATTTGCCTCCACAACCATTTAAAAATAAACTTTTTGGATCCTGAAATTTTGTTCCTTCTAGTTGAAGGAACGGTTTAACTAGGGTTATAAAATGCCGTTACAGATAGACTAGTTCTGGTACAGTGGGTAAAACCTGAGATAAAAACAATTGCTGATAATAATTACATAGATTAGACTAACAATAATTGTCACTTAGTACGCAATAAAGATTTGAATTTGAATTTGAAACAGCTATTTTCATGTTTAACAAAGAAGAAAGTCTCTCATGATGTAAATGAGTATCTACTAACCAGATGTAAAGCAATACGTAATTTGAAATGTAATCAAGATAGTGGCGAGGAAGACAATGCCAATAATGATGTCCTAATGGTTTAAAACTCTGTAACTCTGTAACATGTAAATTGTCGACAAAGCTGTTGAGTTTCCAAATAAATAAATAAATAAATAAAAAAGTCCTTTATCTAACTACTAGTTAAAAAACGGTTGAATCAACATAATAGTCAACTTTTATCTTTAAGTCGTATCTCGTATTATTTTCCAGCAAACCCTGAGACAGACAAGATGGAGCTTCAAGCCTTAGAGCAAGTATTCTGCAAGGACCGCCAACGGCCCCTGTTGGTCGGCAGCATTGCTTCCAACATGGGCTACTCGGAGGCATCGGCTTCCAGTTGTGGGATCTTTAAGGTGATCTTGATTCTGCTTCTTTAGGTATTCCACATTGCTACTTAGCATTAAGAGCAAGAGTGTGCGGTTGAGACCGAAGATGCTTGCACCAGGCCATGTATCAATTTTATTCACATTAATGGTTTTTAATTAATTGGATAGGGTCGAACATTGATCACAAATACACAACTTTTAAAATATTGTTTTTAAATCTTTGTAAAAATACTTTTTGCCTTAAATCCTAGGTATCGTGTTTCATGCAATCATGTTTTAATTTGTTCTAATTTTTGCCCTAAATGTAGCACTGAAAATGTGACCTACTTACCTAACTTTCAGTTCACGCGCAACAAGCACAGAGTTTTTATTTTGCGTTGATCACCACTCAATTTATGTAAAACACGGCTATAACAGCGTATTGACAATTGAAATTGTCTTGAACTTGAAAATTTCGACGGTTTCATCTAGTGTTAGTAGCTCAGTTGGAAGAGCTGTCGCCCCGCAAGCGAAAGATCGTGTTGTGGGTTTGATTCCCGCCTTAGGCAGTTCAATTTTTTTAAGTTGTTTATTTATAATTCAATTTATGTAGTTTATACCAGAGTTGGGTTGCAGATGCTCCTCGCCTACCAACGGGGTATGATCCCAGCAACCATCAACTGCGCCACCCCTCGCCAAGACATCGCAGCGCTGAGAGACGGACGCATGTGCATCGCGACCGAGCACGTCCCACTGCTGGGCTCCTTCACCGCCGTCAACGGGTATTCTCTCACTGGTCTCAACAGCCATGTTCTTCTAGAAAAGTTCCAGAAGAAGAAGGTAATCATCATCATCATCATCTCCATTATCAACACTATTATCAGCTCATATGTTGTCCCGAAGTGGTGGTTGGACAAGCTGTATTTCATTCAGGGACTGGGTAGTCAATGCGAAAAAACGCTCAACGGTTGGAATGTGCAGGTGTCAAAATGTCCATACGGACCGGTTGTTAGTGTGGCAGAAAGTATGAACGTCAAAAAGTCCCAGTGCCAAAATGTACATTGTTACCATGGTTACAATGGTTTAGTGTGGTACTAACAAAAGGTGTGATAGATAAAATGATCAACTGATATATTGTGCTCATGAATAAATTAATAAAATTAAATGTCAAAATGTTCAATGTTCTTGTAGTCTAGTCAATAAAGTTTTTTTGGACATTTTTACCTTGATGCATTTAAACACGTGTTTACGTTAGCTATTATACAATAAGACGCTTGTTCAAATAAACCCGAAGACATTTTAACTTCAGATCATTTTAACCATTGCTCATTTCGACGTTCATACTTTTTGCCACACTAACAGCCGGTCTGTATGGACATTTTGACACCTGCACATTCCAACCGTTGAGCGTTTTTTCGCATTGACTACCCAGTCCCTGAATGCTGTATTTGGTGCGTGTATAAGTGCCCCGGAAAAGGCCTATGTACAGAATAAACAATTTCATTTCATTTCAACATCATCATCTTTCCGCAATCACTTCGGAACTTCCAGATTGGCCAATTAGAAGCAGCATGTATAGCACTTTTCTGCAATATTTATAAGGTCATTTATTCCACCTTGTAGGTGGAAGAAAGTGATAACTAATGCTTCATCATAATTCCAACCTATTGCAGTGTAGTATTTCGGGGCAGTTACCACTATCAAAGACTGTCCACCCAATACTTCTCTATCGTCACTTCAATATACTGGTCGACAATGAGGCCCTGAGAAATGGAACAGAACAGTCACAAAATTAACAAATTTTCAAATTCCATTTCTCAAAACTTTTCAAATCATTTTTTAAAACGATTCAGGATCTAGCCCGTTACCACACCAACATGCCATACCTCGTACTGGCGTCGGGAAGACAAGAGACCTCTGTCCAGATGATTCTTGATGACGTCATGTCACGTCAGCCGGACCCTGAGGAGATCGCGTTGCTCCACAATATTTTCAAGAACTGTATCGGCCAGCACTTGATTCGAGGATATGGAGTGTACTGTAAGTTGTAGTCTATCTATACCAATTTTAAAATTATGCGAAAGTCTATCTGTTAGGTTATCATACTAATTTATTTTCCCTGAATTTTAAATGACGGCCACTGCTGGACTAAGGCCTCCCCAAGGATTTCCACATCAACCGGTCCTGCGTTGGGCGCATCCAGGTACTTGCTTCCTTCGTTGCCTTTGAACAGCAGTGGACGTTATTTGGCTGAAATGAACGAACAAATTTTTAATGATTTTATTATGGGGTAAGTCAACAGGACTCGAGCAATGGAAGGAATCTGGTAGTGGTTCTAATTTGGGTAATCCACTAACTTAGAGAAGTATTTTTAACTGTTTTCCGTTTTTGCAGCAGGCACTAACGAAAAGGTTACCACACATAGTAAAAAGATGGACTACTGTGAAGGTGAAAAACGTCCGTTATGGTTTGTGTACAGCGGTATGGGGTCTCAATGGGCCGGGATGGGAAAACAACTCATGAGGATACCTCTCTTCGCTAAGTCGATCCAAAAGTACGTATTCATTCGTAAAACTAGGTATTGTCTATTTGTCTTTTAGTGAAAACATTCCTACATTGTTTTATTTGCTGATGAACTGATGATGTAAAATTGGTGCTTGGTAAATAATGATTTATCAGGGTAAGGACCCGTGGTTGTGGGCAACTTTGGGGGAAGCCTTTGTCCAGCAGTGGATATCATTTGGCTGAAACGAACGAACGAAATAGTCATCAATAAGTAGTATTAACTAGTTATTTTGTATTATGCATCAAATATTCTAAAGTAAAAAATATACGGTCTGTCTTTACCAGGAGTCATAAAATTCTGGAACCAAAAGGGTTAGATCTCATCAAAATCATAACAACTGAAGACGAGGCGATATTTGACAACATTTTGCACTCGTTCGTCGGTATCGCCGCCATCCAAATCGCTTTGACTGACATCTTGAAAGCCGTTGGATTGGTTCCAGACAATATTATTGGTGAGTGACATTATCTAAGTATCATCATCATCATCACTATCAGTTCATTAAGTTTCCATTGCAGGAGCACACGCCCTCTCTAATTTTCGTAATTTCATACATAGCAAGGATTTACTTTATATTTTATAAATATGTTACACGTAAACCCAATTTTACAAGCAATTTTGTAAATCAAATACTCTAGATCTTCTGAAACTGTCTCTACAGGCTACTGCTGCTGCTGACTGAAACATTATTTGACAAGAGTCAAGAGAGTTTCTTAAAACAGACTCTGTGGGTACTATTGTTTGCTTTGCTTATTATTTATAAAAACTTCACACCTTTAGAGTAGGTATAGAATAAGACGTGATCACTTATAGATTTTCGCTTGCTACACTCAAAATTTCAAATCTTTAAATAATTTTAGGTCACAGCGTAGGGGAGCTAGGTTGCGCGTACGCCGACGGCTGCTTCTCAGCCGAGCAAGTGCTACAGCTGGCCTATCTTAGAGGCTACCTGTCCTTGACCACTCCCATGGTGCAGGGCGCCATGGCTGCCATCGGATTGGGGCACAAACAGGTTAGTTTCATCTAGGCTTGCTTTCAGTAAGGGTAAGGCCCAGAACACACGGTGAAACGCAACTGCAAAGAAACTGCAATTTCTGGTTACTTTTGAGTTGCATCTAAGTTTCTACCATAGCTTCGGTTGAGAGACCACACATGACGCGACCAGTTTGATCAGTTCAAATCGGTTTCAAACTGGTCGCGTCATGTGTGGTCTCTCAACGACCGCTATGGTAGAAACTTAGATGCAACTCAATAGTAACTAGAAGTTGCAGTTGCGTTTTACCGTGTGTTCTGGGCCTAAGTGTACCTTTATTCATCTTCTGTCACATGGGTTGTTGTGACATCACCAATGAAGCAACGTAGTTTTCGTTACAGTGGGTCATCATGACATTTGATGAGTGGAGTCTCATTGCAATGGGTAATCGCGATTGTGCCATTACTTTAAATTGATGCTGTGGATCAGTCTGACTTCACATTTAACTATGTTAACTTTACTATCTCAAACTAAAGTCACACACAACAGGAGTTAGGTACTTATTTTATTCATGTTTTAGATCTCCAACCTCTGTCCACCTGAAATCGACGTGGCGTGCCACAACAGTGCCACTTCCACTACCATTTCTGGCCCCGCTGAAGTGGTGAGGGCGTTTGTTGAAAAATTAACGAAAGACGGCATCTTTGCGAAGGAAGTCAACTGTTCTAACATTGCCTACCACTCCCGGTACATCGCTACACTTGGTAAGTTTAGGTACTTTATGATAATTTCTGGTGCGTAGCTGAGAACTCGTCTCAAGATCTGCGTCGATTTAGTTGTTAATTTCCTACACACATTTTCAGAAGAACATTTAATTTTAATACATTTTTAACAGTTTCGTGTTTCGATTTTAGGTGCCAACTTCATAAAGAACTCACGGAAAATTGTCAAAACCCCGAAACTGCGAAGTGATCGTTGGCTGTCTTCCTCTGTGCCCCACGACAAATGGACCGAGCCCGAAGCACTATATTCTTCAGCTGAATATCACACTAATAATTTGCTGGTACGATTAAAGACATTTTACCCATCATCATCATAATTTCAGCTATAGGATAGGACATCCATTGCTGAACATAGGCCTCCCCCAATGATTTCTACGAGTACATCGCCCAGTTTAACAGAAATAAAGATCGCAGTCATTTTGAAAATGTGCCATAGAAAAAAAAGTGTAAGCAAGGATCAACTTTATTGCGTAGTTCTTCTACTCAAAAACCTATTTTTTTGTCTGTTCAAAAATGTTTGCAAATTAGTGTTAATTTTCAGAGTTGAGGGACTTTTCCCACTTCTTGTTTTCACCACTGCAATTACTCCTATGTAACCAAACCAGGATCTACAATTTGTACCAAAGTCTACCAATAAAGGCCAAGTATTTTCACTTCCAGAGTACCGTATTATTCGAAGAAACGCTTCGCTTTGTGCCATCCAACGCTGTCTTGGTGGAGATAGCCCCTCATGGTCTACTTCAGGCGATTCTCAAGAGGGCTCTGTCTGTTGACTGCCAACACGTGCCTCTCACTCGAAGAGGGCATCAAGACAGTACCGTCTACTTACTGGAAGCTATTGGGAAGTAAGTTGATTGGTTGAAAAGAACGTAGCGTAGAAATAGAAGCTTCTATCGTAGAGGTTATTTTTAATTTCCACTTTTGAATGTTTTATGAAAGCGTGTATCAGAAGCTTCGAAAGGCGTTAACGGGACTATTACTAGTAATTTGTATGCAATACAAAACAAAACAAATCCATAGATGTTTAACACGTATCTTTAGCAGTAGTTGCCAAAAGTTTTAAATTTGATAAAACGCTAGTCTAAATCTAACGTCTAATCTGATTCATTAAAAGAGAAGCTAAAAAACTACAAGTGTAGTGCTAAACTGAGTCAATGCCAGGAGATATGGGAGCATAAGTCTAAAGCAAATCCGAAGTGTCGCTGACGTTTGACATCACAAAAACACCCTCCGTCCCGTGCCGCTCCCTTACGTCAGGCACTGACTTAGTTATGACAAAATGTATGATATTAAAAACGTCCTATTCCAGCCTTTACATCCATGGCTACGAACCAGACGTCAGCGCTTTGTATCCGAAGGTAGAATTCCCAGTGTCCACAGCGACAAGGCCGCTGTCACACCTGGTAGAATGGGTTCACTCAGAAGAATGGTACGTTGAAGTCTTTTAGACCTGGTTTTTGAATTTAGATTTCTAACTTGAGCATGAACTTTACTTATTTATCTTCACAGGAAAATGTGTGGTTTCGATCAACCAGAAAGCGAGTGGTACCATGCAGAACATAACTTGACTATCTCGCTAGAAGATGATGATTATCAGTACTTGTCAGGGCATAAGATTGAAGGTGTGTAATAATAGTGAATATTTTAGATTAGATAGATATTTTTGTTGACGATTAGGTTAAACGAGTATAATAAGATAAAATGTTTCGAATATTATGACTGCTTAGCTCGCATCAATTTTATTGTAAACACAAAACAAAAAAAGGCTGACAAAGGTTCTTGCATTGCATCTTCTCAGCACTGGTCCGTTTTTTGTCCCAATCAGTGGTAGGGTTAAAGTAATAAGGTCTCCTCGAAGCCGGAGAGGCTTGCTCGAAAGCAAGTCGTAGACTGAGACGGAACTGCGGACGATTGTCCAAGTTATGACAATAACTCGCAGCTCCGTTTCATTCGGCTTCGGTGGACACCATCGGGTTTTAGTGGGTAGCTTAGGTTCCGTCTGGTGGGGAGAGTCCCACATAGCCCACTGGTCGTCCGAAAGAATTTTCCGACGTAATTATTGAGTTAAAGTAATACTGGGACATGTAAAACCACTTTATTAATATTTGCTAAAATAAATGACTGATAGATCTTCCAGATTCTTCTTTGTAAACCTCAATACAATTCCAGGTGTGTGCGTATACCCTTTTGCTGCGTGCTTGGTAGCAGCATGGGACCTTCTATGCATGACTCTGAACCAAGAAGCAAAGAAAGTGTCGGTTCAGTTCCTGAACTTGAAGTTCTACTCGCAGATGACCTTACTTGAACATCATCTTCAATACATCACTGTTACTCTGCAGAGGGGAAGTGGACATTTTGAGGTAGGTCCTGATCAGATTAATTCGAGTAGACTTAAGGCCACTAAATATCTGTATTACGTATAAGTAAGCGCCTTTTGAAGTACTAATTATTCCGTCACTTCATTTTGGAACGTAACAGCAATCTGATAATGACCCTTTGTTAGATCCAGATACATTGATGACCTTATAATATTTGTGAGAATCTAAGCTACCTTGACAGTATTGAGAAAGGTTGATTTATGCTTGTATGATATGGATTGTGAACCTATAATTTTGAGTGCTTATTGCTTGTTACAGGTATTTGATGGAAAAGTTGTACTTGTAGAAGGTACTATAAATGCTATAGCGAAGGTCGTCGTTTCTGAGTCAGTTCTACCTGAAACCGTCACGATGCAATTGAACAATGATGACATTTACAAAGTATTTTATGAACGGGGACATGATTATTCGTAAGTTTCCAAACAAATCTAAGAAAAATAATATTATTAGTAAGCCATATTAATCACCTATCCCAAAATTTCAGAGACCAGTTCCGCTGTATACACAGTACAAATACTTCTATGACTGAAGCTAAAATTCAATGGACTGATAATTGGGTAACGTTCATTGATGGNCAGCACAGTTACCAGTCAGTTGATTTAATTTACATGACGACGCTTACTTAAGACAAGTAGTGACGTCATTTTTTCGTCAACTCAGTAGCATGGGTGATGATTTAACGGCCGTCTAGTGGTTGGTGTAATTTAGCTACAGTTGAGCCAATAGACGTGAGTTGTCCATAGTCCTAATGCTCAGTTCTAAAATTCCAGAAAAAAATTACCGGTCTTACCAATATTGGTTGTATGATTTTTATAAGTAGTTTGTACCGCCGAAAAACCAAATAAGTCATGATCCGTACCAGTCAAACTAAGCAGGACCACGGGCAACGCATGTCCATAGAAAATTAAACGTATTCAGTTACAATGTGTCGCATTTTTATGTATTCCCAGCTGCGGCAGAGCAATGTTCTCCAACCGTATATCCTTCTGGCTGAACCTGAAGGGTCCCTCCTTCACCCTGGATGGTGACGCGTGTGGTTCTGGGGTGGCATTGGAGCACGCTTGCCAATCCATCATGGAAGGTCACTGTGAGGCCGCTATTGTGGGGTCTGCGAAGATCCTTCTGCATCCACAAATTCCTATCCTTTATAACAGGTCTGTATTATTTTGTTGAAGTCCAGGTTCTTTTGTTATCCATGTGGCAATAGGCCCCACCCATTATCTCGTAGGACTGAAGCCAGGCAGAAAAGTTATCGAGTGGTGATCACGTGCTGAAATACGTGGAGTGAGTGGAGGTGGATACATGGAATTGTCTGTTCAGAAGTAGACGTCTTTTAATTAAACGAACAATTTAACGAACTTAAGAAACACTTAATTGCAGGCAACCATCGCCCAGTGGGATTTGATACGCCAAAAGAGTAGCGATTCGTTGCCTACCTTTACTAAGGCTGAGTTGCGACTCCTAACTTTGACCGTATACTATAACGATAGCCAGCGTTTTTTGTATGGAGTTTGACAGATTTTTAATGTTTGTCAAAGCCAAAGTAAGATGCATGGTGCAACCCAGCCTAAGAGTGACGTATAATATTTCTAATCATAATTTAATTTTCAGAGAATGCCCAATGAATTTCGATGGCAAAACTAAGTGCTATGATGCAAACGCTGATGGTCACTCACTGTCAGAAGCGGTCAATGTTATGTTTCTTCAAAAGTACAAGGATGCTAAAAGGTAGGTATTTTACCTTTTGAACAAGTTTTTTGTGTAAGTACTCTTCTCAATGTCTAATGTCTAACGGGACTATTCTCACCTATCTTTCCCACCGCTACAACTCTTGTGTAGCTAGGATCTACAGCTTGAGTGAAGGCTCAATGTCTAGCAAAAGATTCAGGAATAAGAAACTTGTCGTACTTTCAGAGTTTATGCCGTTGTGCGTCATGCAAAGGCAGAATTCCGTGTCTCTAACGAGGAAATGACCTCGGAGTACCTCAAGGTACCCCGCGATGCCCAAGTACTGACAAACTTCTACAAAAAGTTCTATGAGGAAGCAGGAGTGTCACCCTCTTCTGTGGAATACGTTGAAGGAATTGGCGCAGGTAATACTGACCCTTAAGAACGCAACTCTTTAAGCATTTTTTTGCCTCCACAACCATTTAAAAATAAACTTCTTGGATCCTGAAATTTCTTTCCTCCTAGTTGAAAGAAACATTAAAACTAGGGTTATAAAATGCCGTTACATATTATAGACTAGTTCTAGTACAGTGGGTAACACCTCAATGTTAATAAATTCATGTTAAACAAAGAAGAAAGTCTCTCATGGTCTATAATGAGTATCTACTAACCAGATGTAAAGCAATACGTAATTTGAAATGTAATCAAGATAGTGGCGAGGAAGACAATGCCAATAATGATGTCCTAATCGTTTAAAACTCTGTAACTCTGTAACATGTAAATTGTCGACAAAGCTGTTGAGTTTCCAAATAAATAAATAAATAAATAAAAAAGTCCTTTATCTAACTACTAGTTAAAAAACGGTTGAATCAACATAATAGTCAAATTTTATCTTTAAGTCGTATCTCGTATTATTTTCCAGCAAACCCTGAGACAGACAAGATGGAGCTTCAAGCCTTAGAGCAAGTATTCTGCAAGGACCGCCAACGGCCCCTGTTGGTCGGCAGCATTGCTTCCAACATGGGCTACTCGGAGGCATCAGCGTCCAGTTGTGGAATCTTTAAGGTGATATCGATTCTACTTCTTCAGGTATTTCACATTGCTGAGTAGTATGCGATTGAGATCGCGAAGACGCTTGCACCAGGCTTTTTATAAATGTAGTACCTATATCATTTTACTTTACTATCATGTAGACTTATTTTGTTCTATTCACCTTATAGTAGAATATTTGAATTAGAAGCGACCTGCACCCGTCTGCTTATTGGATGAAAAATATCTAAATCTATTTATTTATGTTATAATAATATCCGAGTGACTATAACTATGTATTTGGCACTTTTGCATAAAGCCCTTAAGTGCTGAAAACTTGACTTAAATTGACAATACGCCAGTAGGACAACAAGCATCGTCAAGAGTTCTTTTGAAAGCTCATAAAAATAACCTATGAAATAAGTCAACTAGTATTAAACTGGAGTTGGGTTGCAGATGCTCCTCGCCTACCAACGGGGTATGATCCCAGCAACCATCAACTGCTCCAACCCTCGCCAAGACATCGCGGCGTTAAGAGACGGACGCATGTGCATCGCGACCGAGCATGTCCCACTGCTGGGCTCCTTCACCGCCGTCAACGGGTTTTCTCTCACTGGTCTCAACAGTCATGTTCTGCTGGAAAAGTTCCGAAAGAAGAAGGTAATCATCATCATCATCACCATCATCACCTCCATTATCAACATCATCATCTTTTCGCAATCACTTTGGAACTTCCAGATTAGCCGATTAGAAGCATTCTGTATAGCACCTTTCACCATTTATAAGGTCATCTAAGTGATAACTGCCGTCATTTTAGCCTATTGCAGTGCAGCATTTCGGGGTAATTTTAGTACTGTCAAAAAATGTTCACCCAATACTTCTCTATCATCACGTCAGGACAATATACTGGCGGACCCTGAAGCCAGGAAAGATGGAACAGAACAGTTTTATTGACTCTAGGCATTCCTGAAATAAAATCAACCTGGTTCCAGGATGTAGCCCGTTACCACACCAATATGCCATACCTTGTACTGGCGTCGGGAAGGCAAGAGACCTCGGTCCAGATGATTCTTGATGACGTCATGTCACGTCAGCCGGATCCTGAGGAGATCGCGTTGCTCCACAATATTTTCAAGAACTGTATCGGCCAGCACTTGATTCGAGGATATGGAGTGTACTGTAAGTTGTAGTCTATCTATACCAATTTTAAAATTATGCGAAAGTCTATCTGTTAAGTTATCATACTAATTTATTTTCCCTGAATTTTAAATGACGGCCACTGCTGGACAAAGGCCTCCCCCAAGGATTTCCACATCAACCGGTCCTGCGTTGGGCGCATCCAGGTACTTGCTTCCTTCGTTGCCTTTGTCCAGCAGTGGACGTTATGTAGTTTTTTATGGGGTAAGTAATTCAAAAGGACTCGAGCAATGACTTTAATGGTTTTAATTAAGGTAATCCACCAACTTAAAGAAGTATTTTTAACTGTTTTTCGCTTTTGCAGCAGGCACTAACGAAAAGGTTACCACACATAGTAAAAAGATGGACTACTGTGAAGGTGAAAAACGTCCGTTATGGTTTGTGTACAGCGGTATGGGATCTCAATGGGCCGGGATGGGAAAACAACTCATGAGGATACCTCTCTTCGCTAAGTCGATCCAAAAGTACGTATTCGTAAAACTAGGTATTTTCTACATGGCTTTTACTGAAAACATTCCATTGTAAATTGAATAGTGTTTTATTTGTCCCGGACTGATGAACTAATGAAGAAATCCTTCGGAGAGGCCTTTGTCCTGCAGTGGACGTCATTTGGCTGAAACGAACGAACGAAATAATCATATTCCTGGTCATTTAATTTATAAACAATTACATTAATAGGTACCGATACTATTTTGTATTACGAGTACGCATCAAATATTCTAAAGTAAAAAATATACGGTCTGTCTTTACCAGGAGTCATAAAATTCTGGAACCAAAAGGGTTAGATCTCATCAAAATCATAACAACTGAGGACGAGGCGATATTTGACAACATCTTGCACTCCTTCGTTGGTATCGCCGCCATACAAATCGCTTTGACTGACATTTTGAAAGCCGTTGGATTGGTTCCAGACAATATTATTGGTGAGTGAGATTGTCTAAGTATCATCATCATCATCACTATCAGTTCATTAAGTCTCCATTGCAGTAGCTCTAGTCTCTAATTTTGGTAATTTCATATAGAGCAAGGACTAATTATTATTTAAAATGATTACATGACTGTCACTACAATCAATTTTGTAAATTCAAATACTTACCTACATATGATATAGATCAGTGGTTCCCAAAGTTAAGGGCTACGACTCATCTAATATAAATTCCCAAACACAGGGAACCCACCTATAGGAAATTTCGCCCGCTGCCCAGCGGTTGGATGGGTAGGGTGGTGTGTCGTTCTATAGGCAGGGCCCACTCAATTTTCGCTCGCGACCCACCACTGGGTCGCGACCCATAGTTTGGGAAACCCTGATATAGATCTTCTGAATTAGACTGAAACTGCCCACTGCTTCACTAGAGTCAAGAAAATGTCTCACTAAACTTTTTATACTCGGTCACTATTGATTATTGAAACAGCACTCTGTGGATATGTATTATTACTTTGCCTGATCACTTATTTCTAAAGACTTCATCTCTTTAGAAAGCACAATCATAAGAGTGATCACTAATTAATAGATTTTCGTTTGCTACATTCACATCTATAAACAATTCTAGGTCATAGCGTAGGGGAGCTAGGTTGTGCGTACGCCGACGGCTGCTTCTCAGCCGAGCAAGTGCTACAGCTGGCCTATCTGAGAGGCTACCTGTCCTTGACCACTCCCATGGTGCAGGGCGCCATGGCTGCAATCGGATTGGGGCACAAACAGGTTAGTTTAATCAAGTCTTGCTTTCAGCAACATATCCCTTTATTCAGTGTATGGGTTGTGCTCGTAACATCGAAGCTCGTAATGTCGTGGCTTTCGTTGGATAGTAAAATATGCTGAGTGGGAATGCTGCCATGATATCAGTAGTATCTCCAATTTTTAGTATAAAAACGCTTGTCAGCTCATTGCGCTGATTCTCGTCTCAATCAATACATATACGAGTATAACCCAGTTTTGCCAAATACATTGGAGTTACTACTAAAATCGCTAGCATGGCAGAATGGGCATTTTAACTAGAGGTAGGGGAGAATTGTTGCATAGCTGATAGGTAAATTGAATCTGTCAAAATCTTCATTATTTTATCTCAAACTGAAGTCACATTCCACAGGAGTTAGGTCATATTTTATTCTTCCTTTAGATCTCCAACCTCTGTCCACCTGAAATCGACGTGGCGTGCCACAACAGTGCCACTTCCAGTACCATTTCTGGCCCCGCTGAAGTGGTGAGGGCGTTTATTGAAAAACTCACAAAAGACGGCATCTTTGCGAAGGAAGTCAACTGTTCTAACATTGCCTACCACTCCCGGTACATCGCTACACTTGGTAAGTTTAGGTACTTTATGATAATTTCTGGTCCGTAGCTGAGAACTCGTCTCAAGATCTGCGTCGATTTAGTTGTTAATTTCCTACACACATTTTCAGAAGAACATTTAATTTTAATACATTTTTAACAGTTTCGTGTTTCGATTTTAGGTGCCAACTTCATAAAGAACTCACGGAAAATTGTCAAAACCCCGAAACTGCGAAGTGATCGTTGGCTGTCTTCCTCTGTGCCCCACGACAAATGGACCGAGCCCGAAGCACTATATTCTTCAGCTGAATATCACACTAATAATTTGCTGGTACGATTGGCAATTTTACACCCTTCATCATCATCATCATTTCAGCTATAGGACATCCATTGCTGAACATTGGCCTCCCCCCAATGATTTCTACGAGTACATCGCCCAGTTTAACAGAAATAAAGATCGCAGTCATTTTGAAAATGTGCCATAGAAAAAAAGTGTAAGCAAGGAACAACTTTATTGCGTAGTTCCTTTACTCAAAAACCTATTTTTCTATTAAAAAATTTTCAGAGTTGAGGGACTTTTCCGACTTCTTGTTTTCACCACTGCAACTCCTATATAACCTGGATCTACAGTTTGTACCAAAGTCTACCAATAAAGGCCAAGTATTTTCACTTCCAGAGTACCGTATTATTCGAAGAAACGCTTCGCTTTGTGCCTTCCAACGCTGTTTTGGTAGAGATAGCCCCTCATGGTCTACTTCAGGCGATCCTCAAGAGGGCTCTGTCTGTGGACTGCCAACACGTGTCTCTGACTCGAAGAGGGCATCAGGATAGTACCGTCTACTTACTGGAAGCTATTGGGAAGTAAGTTGATTGGTTGAAAAAAAAGTAACTTGGAAATAGAAGCTTCTATCGTAGATGTTATTTTTAATTACCACTTTTGAATGTTTTATGAAAGCGTGTATCAGAAGCTTCGAAAGGCGTTAACGGGACTATTACTAGTAATTTGTATGCAATACAAAACAAAACAAATCCATAGATGTTTAACACGTATCTTTAGCAGTAGTTGCCAAAAGTTTTAAATTTGATAAAACGCTAGTCTAAATCTAACGTCTAATCTGATTCATTAAAAGAGAAGCTAAAAAACTACAAGTGTAGTGCTAAACTGAGTCAATGCCAGGAGATATGGGAGCATAAGTCTAAAGCACATCCGAAGTGTCGCTGACGTTTGACATCACAAAAACACCCTCCGTCCCGTGCGGCTCCCATACGTCAGGCACTGACTTAGTTATGACAAAATGTATGATATTAAAAACGTCCTATTCCAGCCTTTACATCCATGGCTACGAACCAGATGTCAGCGCTTTGTATCCGAAGGTAGAATTCCCAGTGTCCACAGCGACAAGGCCGCTGTCACACCTGGTAGAATGGGTTCACTCAGAAGAATGGTACGTTGAAGTTATTTAGACCCAGTTTCTGAATTTAGATTTCTAACTTGAGCATTATCTTTACTTATTTATCTTCACAGGAAAATGTGTGGTTTCGATCAACCAGAAAGCGAGTGGTACCATGCAGAACATAACTTGACTATCTCGCTAGAAGACGATGATTATCAGTACTTGTCAGGGCACCGGATCGAAGGTGTGTAATAATAATGAATATTTTAGATAGATTTCTGAGTTTCTGGCGTTGCTTCTTCTCAGCACTGGCCCATTTATTGTTCCAAAGTAGTAGTAGGGTTATTAAAGCAATACGAGTACTATCGCTAATATATGTATATGAAAGCGAGTCATAGACTGAGATAGAGCTGCGGACGATTGTCCAAGTTAGGACAGTAACTCGCGGCTCCGTTTCATTCGGCTTCGGTGGACACCATCGGGTTTTAGTGGGTAGCTTAGGTTCCGTCCTTCTGGTGGGGATAGTCCCACATAGCCCACTGGTCGTCCGAAAGAATTTTCCGACGTAATTATTGAGTTAATGTAATACTGGGACATGTAAAACCACTTTATTAATATTTGCTGAAAACAAATGACTTTTAGATCTTTCAGATTCTTCTTTGTAAACCTCAATACAATTCCAGGTGTGTGCGTATACCCTTTTGCTGCGTGCTTGGTAGCAGCATGGGACCTTCTATGCATGACTCTGAACCAAGAAGCAAAGAAAGTGTCGGTTCAGTTCCTGAACTTGAAGTTCTACTCGCAGATGACCTTACTTGAACATCATCTTCAATACATCACTGTTACTCTGCAGAGGGGAAGTGGACATTTTGAAGTAGGTCCTGATCAGATTAATTCGAGTAGCTACCTTGACAGTATTGAGAAAGGTTGATTTATGCTTGTATGATATGGATTGTGAACCTATAATTTTGAGTGCTTATTGCTTGTTACAGGTATTTGATGGAAAAGTTGTACTTGTAGAAGGTACTATAAATGCTATAGCGAAGGTCGTCGTTTCTGAGTCAGTTCTACCTGAAACCGTCACGATGCAATTGAACAAGGATGACATTTACAAAGTATTTTATGAACGGGGACATGATTATTCGTAAGTTTCCAAACAAATCTAAGAAAAATAATATAGATAATATTATAAAAAAAAACATTATTTACCGATCTTCGAAATTTCAGAGACCAGTTTCGCTGTATACACAGTACAAATACTTCTATGACTGAAGCTAAAATTCAATGGACTGATAATTGGGTAACGTTTATTGATGGCCTCATACAAATGAACGCACTGAGACAAAAACACCAAGGAGTCTCTCAACTAAGCTACATTTCTCGTCTCACCATTGATTTCAAGCAAAATATAAGTGATAGAGTCTATTTTGATGACCTGCTATGCGCCAAGCATGATTTAACACAAGGACGAACTATGTAAATATTTATGAATTTTCTATTGTTATTTACTGCTTACAATTTATTGATGCAGTTGTAGTAAACGTTAAAATCCATAGCATAAGCTAAAATTGCTTTGTTTCTTGCTACAGTTGCAGTGGAGTAATGATTGAGCAAATTATATTCAAAGACAAACCTTTACCTAAGAGGCAAGAAGTGGTATTAAAAACGTTAAAATTTGTGCCGTTTTATCAAAACGACAACATGGATGTAAGTGCCAATACAATTTAAACAATGTTGTTCATAAAAAAACTCTTATTAATTAAGTATTTTAATTTAAACAGCTCACCAAAGCGATGACCATCTTAATGCAAATGATTAGTGAACATAAAAGCAAAGACGAAATAACTATAGCTTTCGTTAATGCTCCAAACAAACTTGATTATGCTAAGAAGATCGAAAAAGTGGTGAATAATTTATCACAATTAAAAATAAACATAACATCAGTGAAGCTGCAGGACATTTTGGTTTTGAAACCTTTGGAAAAAACACCTGATGCAGTGTTTCTGCATGATCTGCTCTCTGATAAAAAGGTTTGTTATCACTAATCAATTTTATTAATCGAGTGAGACTATATACTATTGACATGTAAATAATTTAATATTTTTGCAGATCTTCGAAGCTCTCTACCAAATTCTTGTTCCTGAGACTTTGGTCATCAGCATTGGAGCAGATACGAAAGAATATCCCTTATCGATATACAAACCAGTCTCTGTCATAGGCAGTGGTAAAACTAATGTGGAACTGGCTAGATTCAGACCAGCTACTGTACCATCAAAAACTACAGCGATTTCTGTGCGTAGCTTATCTGATGTTGACCAGTACCGCGTCAAGTGTGAAGAGTTGACACCAAACCATAGGCTTTTAGTCCTGGCACCATATCCGACACCAGTTGGTCTGAAAGACCAGGTCAATGTGTGGAGGAAGCAGAATAGAAATGTTTCTATGGTCATGTTTGATCAGCGGAACGTAATGGATAAGGAGCTTGAAAATATACCGGATATGCCATTTAGTTTGCTGCATAATGTAAGTATTCTGGTGTTTTCGGACAGATACGACCTGCAAGTTTTCAAGAAGAGAGCGTATCTTTACCTTAAAGGCCGGCAACGCACCTGTAACGCCCCTGGGTCTGCGGGTGTCTATGGGCGACGGTAATCACTTACCATCAGGTGATCTGTCTGCTCGTTTGCCTCCTGTCACATAAAATAATAAAAAATCTCTTATGTGTTTTCTTCTGATTGAAGGTGATGTTCCTTTGGGTAATTAATTGTTCTATACTCTATGTGGGTAGCCTAACTCTCGCACAAAGGAAGACCTAATGAAAGCCTAAGAATTGCGATACATTTGGTCTGAGTTAGCAAATTGTCTCGGGTACAAAAAAAAATGAAGATGTTTTTATTACTTTCATAAATAAACTTGCTTGACAGTATATTTTGGTAACATTCCTTTTAAGTATAGAAATACCTGTATTAGGCAGAAAAGAAGCTTGTTAACGTGGATTTCAAACTAAAATTTTACAGGGGGTCTGGGGAAGTGAGTACTACTTGCCTGTGTCCGATTCGGTTCCAACTAAAAATACAGTGGCGTTACGTTGCTCCCAACTGGGAGACCTCAACTCGCTAAGCTGGGTAGAAGTCAGCGAACCAGTGGAAAAGCGCGGAGTTGATGTTACGGTAATACATTTTTGTATCCTCTTCCATATTTTGCTTAAAATATAGCACAAAGTGATTTTGCATTTTAAGCATCTTACTCACGTAAAAATCAAAAAGAATCTGAGCGTGACCAAAAAGTCCAACATCGACTCTCAAGTTCAAATTGATGGTGACAGAATGAGTTCAGAACCAGATTTAGACTTATCCTGTGTTAAAAAGTAGAAATCTTCAGTTGTTTTGATCATGCATACAGGTACACTATGCTGGACTCACCGCTATGGATGCATCGAAAGCACTTGCAGAAACACCAGAAGGATTGGTAAAAGAAGGATTTGGGATGGATTTCAGTGGAGTTACTGCAAGGTAGGTTACAAAAAATTTAGAAGTAAAACAGCTTATGATTCTCTGTGAAAGTATGAGACATCATTTCCTTTATGTGCTTGGATTCCCAGGGGTGAAAGAGTAATGGGACTGTTACCAAGAGGAGCAGCATCTAATAAAGTGCGTGTTGATCCTAACATGTTGTGGCCTGTACCATCCCACTGGACTTTGGAAGACGCTGCCACTGTTCCGTATGCCTACGCGCATGCTATGTATTGTTTGGTAAGTCTATAAAAGACTTTCTTCCGTTTATAGAGCACGAAAGAGGATATTTTAGGCACTTACTTTGAGAACTCTATGCTCATCCTTCTAATTAATGAAATATTATGGCCCTGATTTTGATTTTAAATTAGATGAATATAAATAAGTAGAGTTCATCATCTTCAGGTCATTAAGTCTCCACAGAATGAGCACAATCCTCTCTAATTTAGTGGACTTAACCTCCCAACGCTAGCAATACATGGAGAGAAGAATGAATGATTAAAGTTGTCATTCTTGAGTTCTTTTAAGAATCCATTTTCTTCATTTGCAGTACATAAAAATTTGGCTCATGCCTGGTATGAACGTGTTCATATACGGCGGAGCAGGGGCGCTCGGGCAGGCTGCGATATCCATCGCGTTAGCTCACGGGTGCCAGGTCTTCACCACCGTCAATGACGTCAGGAAGAAACGCTTCTTGAAGAAGCTGTTCCCTCAGTTGAAAGGTAAAATCACTTGAACAGTAAAAGATAGATACTACTTCGATTGTTCCTACCTAACTGTTCTCTACGGAAATTGTTTGCTGATTCTATAAATGAACTATGACGCTTTTCGAAAGAAAGCAAACTATTTTTCAAGACAAATTGTATCTTTACCAAATATTTTCTGTTCTAACTGATGTGACTTCCTCGCCAGATCAACATATTGGGAACTCGCGTGACGACGCCTTCCAATCTGTGGTCAAGAATGCCACGAAGGGTGAGGGTTGCGACATATTCCTCAGTTGTGCTAAAGGGAACTTGAAAAAGGTACCACTTAAATTCCAATCATGATAGATGTTCCACAGTTCCATCTACGTGTTTGCTCATCACTCAATCACGGACGTATCATTGAATCCGTGAACTGAATACTGACATGTGTGAATTGAATCACTGACGCAACACTGAAGCACTGATATTGAACTGAGCGAACACGATGACGGAACCTGTGGCTTCACTGATTATGTGTGAATAGACCTTTAATTTACTTTAGTTTTCGCCTTTGGTCGTGTATATCTATCTTTTTTATCTGGCAGAGATACTTCTCCTGCATTGCCCTCAATGGAAACATTATAGATACCGCACAACTGGTATCAAGAGAGAACATAGAGTTCGAATACCGATTCTTGGCTCGGCAAGTTTCTTACCACGCTGTTGACTTCTCCTCCATATTTGATGAGGGAAAAACATTGGAAATTAAAGTGAGTATAGTGTGGTGTCATCATAAGTAACTAAAAAATGCCAATTAACTGATGTAACTAGGTAATAATCATCGAGATCTTTAACCATTATGTCGGAACTCATAAACTATCGAAGTCACGATAGCCGAACGGTGGAGGGGTTGGACAGGCCGACTCGTAATCCGGGGAACGCGGGTTCGGTCCTCACCGCCGCTTGACTATTGTGGTGAGCTCACTCGTGAAGCTCGTGATACAAGCATATTTAGCTTAGCCTGATCACGTTGTAGTGGTAGGCTCCGTAGAACACATTATGTATAATTTAATTAGAACAGCTGAATAATTAATTGATCATGCAACTGTCAACAGAAATTGCAAATAATGCTAAGCGAAGGCATCATCCGAGGATACGTGCGTCCTCTCTCACGAGTGACTTACGAGCCTCATGAGACTCCGCGCGCCTTCCGATTGTTGACTGCAAGTCGACACCGAGGCAGAGTGCTGCTTAGTTTGAAGGAGAAGACGCTTGTGGTTGAACCGAGGTAAGTAGGCGAAAGTAAGTAACGCTTGTGGTTACGCCGGGGTAAGAAGAAATAGGTATCATTTCGTAAAAAAAATGCATCAACGAAAACCATAGTAAAATGCTGGCCGTCATGGAAGATGTCTCTTTTCGACCCTACAAAAGCTAAGAATGCGCCGTGACGCCGTGTCTCTCAATTCTCAAAACGAAATTCTTAGGACTTGTGTTAAACAGTAGGCTCATAAACTATCGTGCCTGTAGCTCACTTATAGAGCCAGTTTCTGAAACAGGAGAAGTTCAAAAGCTCTGGCCAGAAGTTCAGAACCCTGGGCTTCCAGCCTCGGTTATAACAGAACTTACTATAGTAAAATGATCAAACCTGATTGAATCTCTTTCAAACATAATGACAACGAGTCACACTATATTGCGTAAATGTTTGTATAATTTCTAGGATATCCCGCCATCCGTCTGGCAGCTACGTCACCAAACCTGTTTGAATCTCTTTCAAAAATAATGACAACGAGTCATAACTATATTGGGTAAATGTTTGTATAATTTTCAGGATATCCTGCCATCCTTCTAGCAGCTACGTCGTGGTCTACAACGATGAGATGCTAGGTCTGCGAGTAGCCGAACTCTTGGTCGAACGTGGGGCCACTAACTTATTTATTCATGGAGAACAGACTTCGTACTTGCACTATAAAATAGAGTAAGATATTTTATAACATTTCTTAAACAAAATTTCTGATACTACGATAGGCATTATAATATATATTTTATTGAATTTATATCAGCTTGGCCCAAAGATTTGTTTGGAGAATCAGTTCGCTTCATGTGAACTCTGTTAAATGTTTTCCCTACTTTTTTCAGAACTTGGAAGAAACGTGGAGTTCGTGTGAAGGTTTCTTCAGCCAATTTGGTGATTAAAGAAGAAGCGATGGATTTTCTCAAATACTCCAACAGTGTCGGTGGCATAGACGGCATCTACGTCGTTTCTTCAAACCTGGGGAATAATCAGAAAGCCGTGGCCTCCATTTTGTCCAACTTGGACTCGGTTTCAAGACAACTTTGCCCTAATCTTAGGTAACTACTTAGATACGTACTTCTCATTGCAGTCCGAAGCATTTAGCCTTGGGGCTTTTTTACAACGTCTACTTTATCCCGTCTGCAATAAAATATGTATTTTTTACATTGTTTTATTTAATTTGATAAATTAATTTTATTTTAGACACTTTGCCTTGATAAGTGAGAATGATAAGTCGTGGCGAGAAATCTTAAGTAAAAGAGCTCATGACGGTTATCCTGCCTTGTCATTGCAGTTGCAGCTGAAAAAGGTATGTCGGTTCATGTAATTTGTTATTTATCAAGACTCAGTTTAAAGTATTGCTAAACATTGCCTTAAACGACTAGATCTGCAGGAATCTGAATCCACGCTATGAAGATAAAGTAAAAATTTTCAGGTGCATTTTACGCAGAGAACCCATCGATCCCTTAGGTCTTAAAATTTCGACAGGTCTTTTTAGTTAATTATTTCTTTCTACATAATTATCATAATGTGGAGGCAAACTATAAAGACTTGTTAAAGACAACCACTGTTGTGACATAATTGAAACTTACTTAAGTTTATTTACAGTATATTGATTCCGAAGAAGTAAACAATCAAACACCTTCAAGCGATTCAAGCCTCGCCCTTCACAGCGCTATAAGCGCTATAGAGAAGGCGCTCTACAGCAAAGATACCGTCGTCCAAGCTTTTGCACAGAAGATTNAAAAGATAGTTCCGCGTAACATACTGGAAGAGGTGGCGAGGATACCTGGTGAGTAGAAAAAGATTACCAGGAAAATGGAAGTCTTTGGGAGTCTTCGGGGACTGATACTCATGGTAAATCAAGTGACGTTCTTTGGTTTTTACGCCAAATTCCAGCTCCACACATTGGTTTTATTGGCTACAAGTTATAATCTTGGATTCTACACACACACACACAATCTTTGGACATAAACTTATGGCTAAGACTAGGAATCTTAGAGCCAATATACCTCATGTGTTGGGCTAGCAATTGGCAAAAGCTGCTGAACAAAATTTAATGATTACAAATCCGATCTTAGAATTAGGAGCTATTTTATTTCCTGTAAGTGCTCATCCATTTGCCTCTGACTACTAAATTAAAAATTGGGCAGGTCCTACACTAGGTGGACCGACGATCTGGTGAAGATCGCGGGAAGAGTCTGGGCGGGCAGTGCAGGATCGGTCACTATGGAAATCCTTGGGAGATGCCTCTGTCCAGCAGTGGACGTAATTTGGCTGAAACGAATGAACTAAATTATAGAGTGCTCCTGCAGTTGAGATTAAAAGATTAGTTGATGATGATCATGATACCCCTATACTATTTGATCAACAATATATTCCAGGTGTGAACATAACCAACGCGACGGTGGACAGGACGAGCTTGGAACAGGTGGGGGTCGACCAGGGCCGAGCACAGGAGCTCTGCAACCTTCTGGAGGACAAGTTCCAGATTACGATATCACCAGCTGATGTACCGCAAATGACCATTGGACAGTGAGCATACACTCCGATTCTACTAACATAATGAAACTAGTTGAATTCTGAACTTTTGCCACCTAACAATCAATGTGTTCTATGTAATAAGAAAAGAGATTCTAACGCCCGTATTCACATACGATGCTTGCTTAAGTGAAACAGCAAATCGAACGCACAGCGTTGAAGAGAGCTCTGCTGTGATTGGTTCGTGCGTCCTCTTGCACTGTGAGACCTCATTTTAATGACTGCTTGTGAATATGGGCATAAGAACGGTCATTCGATACAATGTCTTAATTAGCCACACGGTAGCGTATAAAATTAATACCAAGAATACAAAAACAAAAGGAAACTGGTGACGTAACAGACGTAGCGAGCCGTAACGTTTTAAAAGCATAATTTTCAAAACTTGCCACCTAATTAGGTCTCAATTCTTTCATCGAAGAAGACTTACATTTAGATAACTTGGAAGGCGAGAAAATTCGCATCACTTCAACGATAAATAGCTAAGTTTGTTTTGCTGTATTTTTCAATGACCCATAATATAATTTACAGATTAAAGCAGTTAAAGGTGGAAACCGAAGATCTAGAAAAAGAAGTGCCCGGTTTCGGGGCGTATTTGAACGTATTCGATGAAAAAGCATTAGAAGCCACTGCCAACATTATCGTGTTGCCGACACTCGTACAACGAGACGAATGTGTAAGTTGTTCATAACAGTTTTTTTTATATCCACAACGAGGAAGCTCTTGGCCTGCATCTTATCTGATATAAAGTGATGATCAGGCCGTAGGTGGCAGTGAGCTTCACCAGCGGAACCTTCAATCACAGAGAAACTGGCTATCTTACCTACAACTCCCGGAATACAACGATGCTGTTAACATTGTTGTTGTGACGACAGACTTGGGTAAGGGTGGTAGCTAGACAGACGTTCTAAGAACAAGCCCTATTAGAAACCAAACCGAGTAGAAAATTTTGCCCCCAATGGTAACCGAAGCCTGGACTTCTGAAGCAGGTGGTCATGCTACTAGAGTTTTGCAGGTGGTCATGCTACTAATTTCTGAAGCAGGTGTTCAAGTGGTCAAACTCGTACTAGACGATGGTGTTGTTTCGATTATTTAATGTCAGACGCCGATGGTATCTTACAAAGACTGACACCAGGATTGTGATCTTAGTTGTGATGTGACACAACTATGTACAAAATAACTATCGCCACCCTATTACGCATATAGTATGTCCACCCACAAGGTGGACCGACGACCTCATAAAGTTAGCGGGAAGGCGCTGGATGCAGGCCAACCGGCCATTGTGGAAATCATTGGGGGAGGCCTATGTTCAACAGTGGACGTCCTATGGCTGAAAATGATGATGATAATGATGACCTTATTACACATCCATCAAATTCATCGTAATTTTCTTTTCAGAAACTCGAAGATTTCCACGCAAACTTCGAGTATCTATGCATAGTGCCAGGCTTAGACGGGCATCACGGCCGGTTCAGGTCTCTGTGCGAGCGGTTGAAGATATCCGCGGCTGTGCTGCAGCCGGGAAACCAGTACCCGCACGAGACTGTGACAGAAACAGCACAAAGGATGGCTAAGGTAGGTACATGTAATACGACAATAGCCCCAAGGCGCCGGTATGGGACTGCACAAAGACAACACACACTAGTTTGATCCTCTTCAACTGCTGGACAACTATAGATAGTGAAGTAAATCATACTACAATCATAATTTATTTGGCTTCTTAGCTAGAGAGGTATATAAGGTCACCTCCAAAAGACAGACGATATTTAAGGGACAAAATAAAACATCTTAAATTAATTCGTTTTAGATAATAGAACCATATTTTTAGAATGATAGTTTTCGAAATTTTTTGATGTTATGTCGAGTGAGTGAACCCGAAGTGCTCAGTGTGGTCCGGAGGCATGGCATCGATCGTGCCAGACAGTGCATCCGTGTACAAGGACGTCACGTCCAGCAGCTTATGTAAATAATGTGAAAATGACAGAGAGGGTTTAAAAATAAAAATATTACCATTTAGTTTCTTAGGAAAAGTAAAAACTTTTACTGTTGTTGTTCAGGTTATTATGCAGTACATGAAACCGAAGAAAGGGTACAATATTCTGGGGTACGAATACGGCGTGCTGGTAGCCTTAGAAATTGCGTCTATACTTGAAAGTTATGGTAAGTTACTTAATAAGTTAATTTATTTTACAAGTGCCATCTCTTCCCATTATCAATCTGAATTAGTATACCTACTTCTAGCTCTTCTCATGATCAATCTAATTTAACTTTATGTATTAACTGGTTCAAGTAATCCGTTTCTTCTACAGGCTACACTGGAACTCTCTACATGGTTGGTGGAACTCCCGAAGACATCCGCGCGTCTTTCAACGAACAGTGGAAAGATTATGATGATAATGCAGTGCAGAACGAACTTCTCCGGCATATGCACACCTTGATCACCCAAACCACCTCCCCTGACCTGGAAGGCATTCTTCAGAAAGCCAAAACCTGGCCAGAAAAGGTCAATTCTCTGATCGCAGACCTAAAAAACAAAGTGCCACACTCCATCCAGTATATGAGAAGCACCATAGAAGTGATATACTCCAGGATCAAGCAGTTGCAAAACTACAGCATTCAACCACAAAAATTAAAATCCAAAGTGGTGCTCCTTCAAGCAAAACCTTACAGATCGTCTCTAGAATCCCTCAAACCATATTCTGACCAGGAACCGTCCCTGATCAAGCTTCGAGCGAAGCTTCATTTGGCTCACAAAGACTTGAGCTGTTCTAATATTATCAACAGGTATCTGCACCCTGAAATCTTGGAAGAATATGAGAAGAGCAACCACTGTGTTAAGCTGTATGTGACCGTGGAGGAGAAATTGAAGATGATTGGTGTAAAAATAACTAGTAATGAGTAATTCTTGGATTCCCTAAATAAGAATAAACTTTTTTGACTCCTTTCCTATAACGGACTTGATAATTTATTATAAACTTTGGTTGGTAATTTAAACTGTTGACTGTTAAATGTTTTACAGTTCTATTCATGTTTGTTCTTACATATTTATACTGTGGTATTGTTTTAATAAAAGTTGTTTGCATTATTTGTGTTATTTCATTAATTCGAGTATAATTACTTATTATACTAATATCTAATATTTAGAAGTATCTTATCCATAAGTTTCCTCATCAGCCAGACAGTTTTGACAGTTCCAACTCCTTGCCAGACAGTTTTTTAGGATAGCTTCCAAAGCCACAATGACCCAAACTTCATGATTCACCAACCTATACTACCTATAAGCAGCAGGGAGCATACGCTGACAAACTTTCAGCTTTTATAAAATAATGTAGGTCTGGCGTTCACTAGCTCTTAGTCTAGAACCTCTTGGCTGCATCTCACCTGATGGAAAGTGATGATCAGGCAAACGCGTTCTTACATCATAGTTAATATCTTCGCTACGCTAACCAAAGTAATCAGCTTACTTGATGTGACTGTGATTTTTAATAGACATGTTATAAATTGCAGATTTATTTTAATTTCGAATTATATTCTATTGCCGTTCAATGCAGGGCAAGTGAACTCATACATGCGCAAGCGCATTGGCCTTGACCTTGATAATGAACGGTAGGTATAAAATTATACGATTGTCTTATTATTTGAATTTAATAATACAAACCTCATATCGACATTCTGTCGGTTATTCAAATAGCAGAGCAGAGCTGATGGCCGCTGGGGCAGAAAAGTTCTCGAGTGGCGATGGCGACCACGAGTCTGAAGACGTAGTATGGGCAGATCTCCCACTAAGTGGACCGACGATCTGGTGAAGGTCGCGGGTGGTGCCTGGATGCGGGCGGCGCAGGACTGATCATTGTGAAACGAACGTCATTCGGCTGAAACGAACGAATGGTGTTGGTATCGGTATCGAGGTTCTAGGAACGCGGGTTTAATACAAGCTAACACAAGGATTTATTAGTATTGTATAATAATATGTCAAAGTGAAATTGTGAACTCTGTCAGTTTATAATATAACGCGTTAGATTGTAAACTAACAGCGGGTTAGGTTAGGTTAGATTTATTTTGTAATTTAACTACGTGAGATTATAATCTGACGGAATTCCCAATTTTACGGTGACATACATATACATTACGTCCCGTTAGCCCCTCGTATTAATTTAAATGCTTGCATTACGAGTGGGCTCACCACGGCCGGCACGGTTTGAACCCGCGTTCCTTGGACTTCGATGACGAGGCCAGTCCGACCCCTTCACCGTTCGGCTATCGTGGCTAGGACTAATTTTTATTAAAAAAAATACTGACGATGGTTATAAGTTGTTTCTATTTTAGAATGAACTAGCTTTACGCCCGCGGCTTCGCGCGCGTGGACTACACTATCTACATATTTTACGGAACCCTATTTTTGTTCAAAATAAAATTTAGCCTATGTTACTCGTGGATAATGTAGCTTTCGAATGGTGAAAGAATTTTATAAAATGGTCCAGTAGTTTTTGAGCCTATGTATTCATTACAACCAAACAAACAAAGTTTTCCTCTTTATAATATTAGTGTAGATATAGGCTTTAAGTAATATGTAAGGATGTTATTGGGACTGTTAATTTTAATTTTAAGTAACCAACACTGTAAGTATACGTACAAAATAGGTCCCTTGTGTGAAATTCTTTCATAAAATATGTATAGCAAGAGTCGCTGAAAAACTAAAAACACACTAACATTATGTATCTCTATCAGCGGTTATCTTTTAATCTTTTCGGGTAAACACTAGTACATAATAAAATGTCAAGTATTTTTGTAATCTTTAAAGGAAGTGCGTATTACATGTAATTAATTAATTAAATGTAACATTGTCATCGGTCGACTTTCACTTGTATATTTGTCTTGACCTATACTCTGACGGTGTTGAATAAATACTAAGGAAATGCAAATAAAAAGTCTCTACCAGCTTTCATGGTTCCATAGAAAATACAATAATTAATAATATATTGTTTTAAACTTTCATGGTCACTAAAATAATAATTATTACTGACGGGATTGCTACCATTTACCTTAAAAAAATAATTAAGAAAATAGCTTTGATAAAGTACTTTTATAATCGTCACAAGGAATACTTCCCATAATATAGAAGACACAAGGAGAATCTTTTTAAGCACTGCATTTTTTGGAAAACCCACTTACTTAACACTTTTTGTTTTTGTTGCGTTTTGCAAAATTTTTAGATGACTAAGTAGCCGAAAACTTGGTAATCCGAACACATTTTGACTTGTGACTTCATTCAAAATACAGATCTAGGTACTTTTAATAAAAATTTTGCACATAAGTTAACTTTTTCTTGAGGATCTCTAAATGGAATTTAATTAACGAATGCAATTATAAAGGCACCTTGTACATGATTAGCATTCACTTGTTATTTTACATCGCTACATTACAAGTGATTATTTGTAATATACAAGTCGTTTAATTTCCGTGAGTCCAAGAAAATGCCACCAGTGCCTGAAAGCGACGTGGGTAAAGTGCCCCAAGTAGACTTCAGGATGGCTGGTGACAGCGTGGTAATCTCTGGGATGTCAGGACTCTATCCTCAGTCCCACTGTGTAAAGGAGTTGTCTGACATACTCTACAATAAGGTAAGAGTTGACTGGTTGACGCTACAATCTAATTGTGTTCTGTCTCATCATTATCATCATCTCAGCCATAGGACGTCCACTGCTGAACATAGGCCTCCCCCAAGTGGCAGTGTTCTGTCTACTTCATGCATAATAAGTGAACCATGCCTCCTCACGCTGCGCTTTTCCTTAGGAACGCCACCTTGTAGGTCTTCAGGCCGCTACTAGGTCTTTAAGGAAATCATTTTGGAGGCCTATGTTCAAATCCTATGCAGGGGACGTCCTGTGGATGATGATGATGCCTTCCCAACCCGTCTGGCCAACAAGGAGAGTATAATTATGGCAAACTGAGGGTTGGCCTCTGGTAAATTAGAGAGGGTCGTCATTCTGAAGTCGAAACTAATGACCTGACGATTTCTTCAGGTAAACCCAATATCGTGTACAGGCACGCGCTGGTTAAACAACCACCCTGAAGTGTCTCAATACTCGGGCAACGTGCCTGACCTGGATCGCTTCGATGCCCAGTTCTTCGGAGTCCACTTCAGGCTTGGACACACCATGGATTCCATGTCCAGGAAGATGTTGGAACAGACCTACCAAGCTATTTACGACGCTGGTAAGTGATTTTCCGTTTAGGTGGTGAGAAAGGCAAAAAATATAAACAATGTAGGCGAAGTTTGTCATTATTTTGTATAATGGTGAATTTTTTTTAAAGAATCAGCTGTTGATTGATTCTAATGAAGCCATCAAGCAGAGTAAAAAATTAGAAGTAGTTACCAGAAAACCGCTTCGCAGTGAACTCGACCGGGTTGTAGTTCTAGCAGCGGTTCCCAATCTTATATAGTCTACTGGCCACTTTGAGAATAAATTATTTTTAGCGCCCCCCATTTTTGTAGTCAAGAGTCGAGCTCAGTCGGTGTCTAAGAGTCCTCCTAGTAGATGACACCTCCCAAGCCTCTACACAACGTCCCGATTTTTTTTGTGGGTCTCTTACCGCCCCCCTTTACGCCTGCAGCGCCCACAAGGGTTATCGCCCACTTTAGCAAAGACCTAGCAGAACAGTAAAATATTACCAAAGTTTACTTTTCTTTGTAGGTTTAAATCCTGAGCATCTCTCCGGTAAGAAAGTAGGGGTATATGTCGGAACGTGCTTCTCTGAAACTGAGAAAGCTTGCTTCTACGTAGCCAGTAGCAGGACTGGGTTTGGAATTGCTGGGTACGTAATACTACTACTACTACTATACAGCAATACTACTCCGATTGCAGTTCAAGTAACAGTGGTCATCATTTTAGTCAATAAAAGTAGTGTATGGATAGGTATACATACTCGTAAATAAAATACGTATTATAAACACAGAATTTTATTTACGAGTATGTATACCTATCCATACACTACTTTTATTGACTAAAATGATGACCACTGTTACTTGAACTGCAATCGGAGTAGTATTGCTGCGTCATAGGAGTCCCTCTTGCCCTTCGAATATCCACGGAAGACCAGCGTCGTGGTGTTCCTTACGACACCTCGACATGATGCGGATACCGTTTCGGTGATACGCACATTACTTCCTTTATTTAGTTTTGGTTATCATTTTTCTTGATATTGTTTTGTGTCGCTAAATAATAAACCGATTTAGATCAATATGGTATAGAGATAGTTTGGGTCCCGGAACAAAATAGAACAAAGGATCTAGAAAGGAAGGATAGTTATAACAACATTTTAGTCAGCAAGTTCTTCTGTATCTACACTAATATTATAAAGAAGAAAACTAAAATTTTAAAATTACTATAGGCCAGTAGAATTAAACACAAAAATTGATTAAATCGGAAATAATTCCTACAAAAGATTTTTTTGCTTTAATGGCTTCATTGTTTGCCCATTAAGACTCTCCTAAGTTTTCGACTTCGACGGAGTTGTGCTTAAGTGGTGGGGGCCCCCGAAAGGGGCGTTTTTTCGGTTTTCCGGTTATACCGCGTCGAACCTTAGACCAGGCATACGGCTAGGCAACGTAGTCATGCAGGAGGATACAAGGAAGAGGGGCAGCCACAGTAGGTAACACAGAGTCGTTGAGGTGAGTGNTAAGTGAGAATGATAAGTCGTGGCGAGAAATCTTAAGTAAAAGAGCTCATGACGGTTATCCTGCCTTGTCATTGCAGTTGCAGCTGAAAAAGGTATGTCGGTTCATGTAATTTGTTATTTATCAAGACTCAGTTTAAAGTATTGCTAAACATTGCCTTAAACGACTAGATCTGCAGGAATCTGAATCCACGCTATGAAGATAAAGTAAAAATTTTCAGGTGCATTTTACGCAGAGAACCCATCGATCCCTTAGGTCTTAAAATTTCGACAGGTCTTTTTAGTTAATTATTTCTTTCTACATAATTATTATAATGTGGAGGCAAACTATAAAGACTTGTTAAAGACAACCACTGTTG